ACTTGTGGTATACATATATATACAGGCAAAACACCAAAGCACATAAAATAAAAACAATTTTTTAAACGTTCCTTCTTCATTTGGAAGATGCTTCCTTCCTGGACCTGATGCGTCAGCCAGGCCAGCAGACGTCATGTTTCACAACTTGCGCTGTTCAGACAGCTATGCATGGTGCCCTGTGTGGCAGAGGGAAAGGACCACAGTGCCCTCTTCCCCCACCAACCTGTAGCACCAGGGTTTGTTGAGTCACTGAGGAGCCAATGGCAGGGACCCACACGCTCAGTGTCTGAGCTGCAGTTCCTGATTGCAGCGACCGGCAGCTTCCTGGGACGGACGGGCTAACCTTGGATTCTTGGCCTACCTTTGGCTGTGTCTCAGCAGCTCTTTTGACGTTGTGGGAGATGTATGGCTTTCTGCATTTCCCAGAGTCCATTCATTTAAATCCTCACCAGCACAGGCAAGTGTCTCAACTCCTAAATGCCCCCTCAACTCTCGCCTTGTGTCACTACTGTATGAGCAACTCAACCTGGGCGTGGGAGCTCAAACTGCAATTTCAAGATTTAAAGGGTTGGAACAGGAAGACGACTGTGTATTTGAGGCCAACCTGGGCTACACAGTGAGTCCCAGGCAATGGTTCCTGGGCTAGGTTGAGAGCCTGCCGCAAACAAAAAAACAACAAATAAAAACAAATAAATGTCTTGGGCGCCCCTCAGAGTCCTGAAGCCCAAGAACTGACCGGAGAAGCGAATTAACTGAAGAATACTGCGTGTGCCTGTACCCCGCGGTCTGTGCGCCGCCCTGGTCTGTGCGGCCCAGCGGTCTGTGCCCCCCGCAGTCTGTGCGGCCCCGTGGTCTGTGTTCCCTGCAGTCTGTGTTCCCCGCGGTCTGTGTACCCTGTAGTCTGTGTTCCCCGCGGTCTGTGTTCCCCGCGGTCTGTGTACCCTGTAGTCTGTGTACCCCGCGGTCTGTGTTCCCCGCGGTCTGTGTACCCCGCGGTCTGTGTACCCCGCGGTCTGTGTACCCCGCGGTCTGTGTTCCCCGTGGTCTGTGTACCCCGTGGTCTGTGTACCCCGTGGTCTGTGTACCCCGCAGTCTATGCGTCCCCTCGATCTGTGTTCCCTGAAGTCTGTACGCCCCACACTCTGTATGCCCCACACTCTGTGTACCCGATTCCATGAAAGCACGAATGCCCTTGATCCAGCTGCAGTCTGCCGGGGGTGGGGGGAGTGGGGATGTGGGTCTGGGGGGTAGGGGGAAGGGGTGGATCTGCAGATGGGCTTGGCATGTTGGCAGCCGTGCCATGCCCAGCTATGTCTTTAGAAGTCCCAGGGACTTGGCTAGTCATGCCGGTCCTGCCCGCCCTGGACTGGCCTGGCCGGTGGGTGGTAAAATCAGCACACTCATGGAGGCCAGCCTTCTCTGTGGCCAGGCCCCTCCTCTACATGCATGTGTGACATATGTCCTGGAGCTGCCACACTAGGGGGTGCTATGACCAACGGCTGTGCCCTCCTAAGACTTTGGAGAGAGCCATGCCCTGCCGTTCCCCGTGAGTCACCGCCGACGTCCTTCCTGACGCCCTCCCTCAGACGCCCTTCCTCAGACGCCCTTCCGCGAGGCATCCACCTGGCGCCCCTGGTCACCCTTTCCCCTCTGCGCTCTGCACCCACGGCTGGCTGCTTGCGGAGTTGGGACAGCATTCTGTCAACACCATTGCCTCCACACCGTCAGCCATTTTCTGACTCACAGATGTGGAAGCCTGGAGGTGCCCGTCCTTACTTCCCGGGGGGGGGGGTTGTGTGTCTGGCTACCGGGGATGTTGCCTCGGTCCCTAACCGACTGCCACTGACCAGGTAGGGCTTGGGTACGGATCACAGGCTCAGGTGCTTCAGCAACGGGCTTCCTTCTGATTGACAACTCACCTCAGAGACAATCCTCGAGACTGTCCACTAGCAAAATGCCCATGAGACAGGATCCGAGGCCGGGCATAGTGGCACAGGCTTGTCATCCCAGCACTGGGGGGTTAGAGGCAGGGGCTGCTCTGTTCGAGTCTGAGGTCATCGTGGTTTGCGTAGGGAGTTCCAGGCTGTGAGGGCTACACAGTGAGCCTCTCAGAAGAACAAAAACAAAATTAAACCCAAACCAAACGAAAGCAAAGCAAAGCAAAACAAGGCAAGCTTTGGTATGAGCAGACGCACTCAGACGCGCACACGTCAGGGATGCAGAGACCTACAGAATAAACAATGACATACCTATGGCTGTGCTAAGTTCCCATACACACACCTGAGAGGCTTGCGTCACATTCCTCTGTGATGAAGCAACCTGGGATGGAGACAGGGCCAGTGCTCGCTCCCCTGCTATCTGCCTCCCCTGCTATCTGCCCCCCCTTACCCCATCCCTGCTCCAGCCTGAGACTGCTCTTGGTCTCAGTTTGCCCCACGGCTGCCAGGCAATGGGTGCTGGTACGACCATCTTCCCAGGACTGATGCTCCTTCTTCACCGAGACAGCCTCTAACCAGAAGGTCCAGAACCGTGCATGGGACAGACAGACCCAAGCCTGTCCCTCCCCTGGGCAGTTTCTAACACTGGCTAGTTCCAGAGAAAGCTGGGTCCCAGTGAGTACACTTTTTTGCATTCACCTTCTGTTGGGCCCAGAGAACTCCGACACTGAGTGCGGCTGTCACGCTCAGGGTCACATTCTCGGTGGGGTGAGGCTCAAAGCTGGCAAACAAGCCATTCGGGGCTACACAGGCCAGTGTCAGCCCAGGTGGAAGGCTGGGGCCTCGGAGGGACTCCAGAGACAGGGCACGACACTGCTCAATGGTGATGAGGTCACCTCCTGTGGCCAGCACAGCACAAGGGATAGCAGGATAGCCACCCATGCCGCCTACCTTTCTAAAGCGCTGCTTCTCTGTCTGTGTGTCTGTCTGTGTGTCTGTCTGTCTCTCTCCCTCTCTCACACACACACACGGGTTTGGTATTTTCTCATCGTCCACATCTACGCCTCCACTGCTCTCCAGCAGGTGCCAGTGGTCAATTTAATGCTCAGGAAGAGATGAGTCAGGAGCGTCAGGTGTGCTGGCCCAACCCGGCCGCCCTGCCTCCAAGGCAGTGGCTGTGCTGTCCTATTGCTGTCTCTGCAATGGCTGTGCTGTCCTATTGCTGTCTCTGCAATGGCTGTGCTGTCCTATTGCTGTCTCTGCAATGGCTGTGATGTCCTATTGCTGTCTCTGCTCCCAGGGGCCTCAGGCAGGCCAGCAGTCAACAGGGTCATAATACTTGGCTTCCTAGTCTAGTAGACCCCACGCAGTGTTTGTTGAATGAATGAATGAATGAACGAACAAACGAATGAACGAAGGGTTGGGGGGGGAGGGCAGAGCAACTCTAGTGCAGCTACTTTAAGGAGACAAGAGCTTGGAACAGAGTATTTCTGACTGACCAGGAAGCAGAAAATGCTGCAACTCAGCCCTCAAGGGCTTGGAGTCACACAGAACGAAGCAGAAGAAGCCCGTTTGACGGGGCTGGGAGAGTTAGAAGTGAGGAAACGAAGCTGAGGTGCTCACAGAGACGGGGTTCCGTGCATAGTGCTGACTTACGAACAAGCTTATGAACAAGACGCAGCCATGTAAACAGCAAGAGCCACGTGGGACACATCAGCAGATTCGTTTTGATCAAATGTGTACCAAAAAATAAATAAACAAACCAAGAGGAGGTAAGTAAATGTCATCAAATGTCAAGGAATGAGATGCAGAGACCTGGATTAAGGGAGACAAGAATAGCGTCCCTGCTGGGGCTGTTCCTGCCCGTGCCTGCTTCTTGTCTGTCAGGACACGCGTTCCGGTACCAAGTGCACACCACCTTTGACCTTTACACTGCCTGCCATGGTGGAAGTCAGGGCAGCGGCTGTTTGCTGAGCATGGGGTTAACCGGCTGTTAGCCCTCCCTGGATGGGACCCGCACACCCGGAACCAAAAAGGATAGAGTTCATTTGGCTGGCGGCTTCAGAGGGTCCAGTCCATAGTCCTTGGATCTGATGACCCTGGGACACGATGACAGCAGGACCGTGTGGCAGGGGCTGCTTACCTCAGGGCACGCAGGAGGCAGAGAGAGAGGACGAGACACCATGCCTAAAACCATGCCCCCAGTGACCCACTTCCTTGGAGCAAGTTTACAAGCAAGAACAAACAATTGAAATAATATTTTCAAAAAACCCTGTCAAAAGCTTTCAGTGATTCCTTTGTATTTTGACAAATCTTTTTTTTTTTTAACAAATACAAAGTAATCTAAAAGGAGGAAAAACTACGTGTGGATTATTTACACCTCTGAGCCAGGTGCTGGTCTGCCCAGGGACACGCCTGTGAGAACCTGTGAGCAGGAGATGCTCTGCGCGCCTGGCCTGTCCCCCGCCCCCCAGGCTTGGGAGGCAGTTCAGCTGATAGAGCGTTTACCTCGCACACAGGAAGCTTTGGTGCAATCCCCAGCATTTCACAAACTGGGCACGGTACATACCTGTAATCTCAGCACTAGAGAGAGGTGGACTCAGGAAGATCAGAAATTCAGGGTCACCCTCAGCTGCACAAGGAATTTAAGGCCAACCTGAGCTACATGGAATGCTATCTTAAAAAATTAAAGGAAAGGAGGGAGGAAGAAGGGAGGGAAGGAAGGAGGGAGGGAGCGAAGAGAGACCCAACTTCTGATAACCCTGATCACGCACTTGCAGCCTTTTTGTTTCCTGGTGACAAGGACATGCATGCAGTTGGCTAATGTGGGCACTTATGCTCTGCCTTGAAGTTGAGTTTCTTTCCCAAAAAGAGGGGGCAAAGGTCAAGCCCATGCTCCCCTTGTTATGCCATCCCTTGAGGAAATACAGGCTCCTGCCCAGCTTCTGCTTTTAGTCACAAAACCACACTCAGGATGGACCACACCCATGCTACAGGCGCACACCAGCCCCCCACCCCAGGCTTGACAAGAGATGGCACCAGCAGCCATGCAGACAACGAAAGTGGTTTGGGCAGATTTGGAGTTTATTTGCTGCAGTTCCTTGGAGCTAGTTTACAAGGCAAAAACAAACAAAAAACAATTGGAATAATAATAACAATAATAATATTTTTAAAAAACCCTGTCAACAACTTTCAGCCATTTCTTTGTATTTTGACAAATCCTTTTTAAAACAAATACAAAATAATCTAAAAGGAGGAGACTGGATTATTTACACCTCTGATAAATAGACTGGCTCTGAGCCAGACGCTGGTCTGCCCAGGGCACACCTGTGAGAACCCTGGGCCAGCGCTGCCTGGTTCTCTACCAGGAGGTTCAGGTTTCCGGCCTGGACCCCTCTTCCGTCCGTCACTGTCACCTGCACACACTCTGGCATGGAGCACCTGAAGCCACTTGAGGCCGGATCCACAGGACGGGGGCAGAGTGCTGCCCTCACACTCACCCTTCTCGGCAAAGCTGTTTCCAGAGGTGCTGACCTCCTTCTGAGGAGCCCAGCCAGCAGCGGGGAGCCCACGGCTCCTCCACCCGCCTGGAGGCAGCACTCTGCCACCCAGGCCTTGGACGCGTGGGGGAGTGTGCCAAGACACCACCTGCCACCTGCTCTGCCTGGACTGGCCCCGGCCAAGGAGCAGGAGCTGCCCTTGAGAGTCCCTGAGAGAACGGCAGATGCTGGGCTTCATGGCTCCCTTCACGCTGAGTCAGGAGACCAGGCCGCCACAGAGGGCGGGGACACCAAGACCACCTCACCCTCCCTCGGCTGCTCTGCGCCCTGCTGAGCAAGGCCCCTGCTCCTGGAGGCTACCACAGAGTGCACCACAATAGTCCAGTTGGGGATAGTTCTGAGGCAGAAAAGGCTGAAGCGCCAAGGGGATCAGGTAAAACCTACTCCTTCCTCTAGAACGAGGAGTGGAGGAGTTCTTGGGGAGGACAAAGAAAGACCAGCTATGAAACAGTCGGCCACCCGGCACCATGGGGTGACCTCCTCACAGTTTTGGTTATTAGGAAAACACGGACTCTCCGCTTTAAAGCGCAGTGGGGCCTGGGCGCCGAGGGCCGGGCAAGGAGCTTAGCTGTCCACCTTCACCCATCCCATAGGCACCGGGCGGGGCTGCCCACGCTGCCTGCCTGCTGCCTGCTGGGGCCCTGGAGGCCTCCCTGTGTCTGCTCGGCCCTGCCAGCAGCCCACACAGGTCACGAGGCGGCAGCTCTTGGGGTGCCTGCAGCCCCAGAGCCCCTTTCTAGGGGAAGCTTCCCGAGCAGGGCACAGCAGGGTAGGGGTACAGTGCTACTTTCACTTTTGCTTTACAAAAACAAAAATAAATCTTTATAGTGCGTGGCTTCTCTCCTTCCCCCCTCTCCTTAGTACACAAGAGTACATCCTCACAGGCGTTTGTGGGGCAGAGCTGAAGGCCCCCGGGCAGGAACACTGTGAGGTAAAGAGCTCTCTGCGGTGCCATCGGCCCTGCTCAGCGGAGCCGTGTGGCTGCGGCCCTGCTCTGCCGCTAGCAGCGGAGGGTGCCGAGAGCGGCTCCCGAGCCGTGAGTGGCAGCAGCATCTCCGGCCCCGGCCATCACTGTCCGCCCTTCTCCCACTCAGAAGATTGCAGAAGCTGAAGCCAGTCTCTGGGAGCGGCAGGAGCTGGCAGAAGAGCCCTCTGCTCTCTGCGCGCTCACAGCGCCCCTCCAGGGGAGGCGGGAGGAAGGGCCACAGCCTCATGGGCTGCCCGTGCCCTGGCGCGCCCTCAGTGTCTCTTTGTGGAGGAGACCTTCTTTTTCCGTGCTGCAAGCATCTCGTAGAAGGGGTCTCTGCTGATGGCAGCTCTGCAGGACAGAAAGGGGGAGAAGAGGCATGAGGGACAGACAGACCTGGGTTGCCAGCTGTCACCAGGAACACCCACCCTCACTGTCCAACTGGTTGCTTGAGGTGACACCCGTTACAGAGACATGTAACAAAGTTACCCTGGAGGTTTCTGACCATTTTAAGCTAACTTCACTTAATGTTTGAGAGTAGAATCATTATACATTCCCTAGCTGAGTTCCAAGCCCGGGGACTTGGTTTTCTCAGCCAAGTGACTGTCCTCTGAGCCCTGAGTGCCGTGCTGTAATCGATGACATACATTACTGCACTCACAGAGCTCAAGAGGCTGGTGTGGACTGCAGGGGACTTTTGGGGACCTTTGGGCACCAGCCCCATGCTGACGAGAGCTGCTGCTGGGGGTCCAGTGCGAGGGGCCGCCGTGCTGCCTGTCCAGCACAGGGAGGGAGGGCGCACTGGGCCTCCTCGGGAAGCAGGTCTGTGTGACACTCAGTTCTAGTGGTCACCAGTGGCCTGGAGCCCGCAGCACACACATCCCAGCGCTCTCCCTGGTGAGCTAGCTGGGTCTCACAACCACAAGGGCTCAGCCCCCACTGGAATGCGGCTAGTCGGAGGCCTTTCATTTCAGGGTGTAGGTGATTCTGCTTTGGCTTTTGGGGAGTGGCTAACCCTTCCAGTAGGCTCCTCGGCCTTGTACAGTAGTGCCCTCACTTCCATGTCTGTAACTGGGAGAATGGTCTCCCTGGACGAACAAGTACAATAAAGTCAAGTGCTACCCAGTCAAGTGCTCGCCACTGAGGAGGCATCAGGGAGAGATGTGTCAAGATGTGTCCCCCTCCACACACACACACACACACACACACACACACACACACACACACACACACACACTAATGTAGGTGGCCCTTGTCCCCACTCTGGGTCTTTGAATTCTCTAGGTGCCTAGGCTGGAGACATGGCCTACTAATGCTCTATCAGGCAGGAATCCCAAGGTCTGCTGGGAAGCCTCCCTGAAGACTTTCAGAGCTGGAAGGACAGGAACTGCAGAGGAGAGGGTGGTGCAACCAGATCCGGCCCCCTCGGATCTCCCGTGTGCGAGGGGGCTGGGCTTGGATCTCCCGTGCGTGGGGCCACCTACTTGATGCACTTGATCCACTCGTCCTTCTCCTCAGGGGTGGGGGCGGAGATGCGGTACACCGTGTGGTTTCCCTCCACCACTCGCCCGTCGGCCTCGGTCTTACAGGCCTTAATCACCTGGTCTTTGTTGTCAGGGATGTAAAGCTCGAAGCAGTTCTGGGAGGACGATGAAAAGGCACAGTCAGACTTTAGGACGCTGCTGACCGAGGAAAACGTTATTTCTAGCCCAAAGATTCTTTCTTCTTACTCTCAAGAATGCCTGTCAGGGACCCCTGCAGAAATGAGGCCTGCGGACGCGTGTCAGTTGACGAAGTGTTTGCCACAGAAGCGTGAGGGCTTGCGTTTGATCCTGCATTTAAAAGCTAAGCGTGGACCAGTGTGGGGGCGCACACCTTTAGCCTGTACTCGGGAGGCAGAGGCAGGTAGATTTTTCTGAGTTCAAGGCCAGCCTGGTCTACAAAGCAGGCTCTAGGGCAGCTAGGACTATGCAGTCTTGAAAAATAAAAAATAAATAAATAATAAACAAGTTTGTGGGGGGGTGGGAGTGGGGGCGGTTGTAGGTATGGGGGGTAGGTGCGCATGTGCACTTTAAGTGTGAATGCAGGTGCGCTGTATGGGCGGGGCTTGGAGAACAACCTTGAGGGCCAGCCCGTCTTCGACCTTGTCTGAGACAGGACTCAGTGTTGATCTCCCACCGCATACGTAGGTTAGCAAGCCCATGAGCTTCCGGGAGTTCTCCTTTCTGCACACCCTGCCTCACTGTGGGACTACCGACCTCACGTGCGCATGCGTGAACACATTCCACACGCATGCGCACCTGCACACACACGCAAATGTTTTTTCCTGTGGAAAAAAGCAGCCCAGACTAGAACACGGCAGGATGTCAACTGTGTTTCAGGCCTGTCTGTTGGTCAAGACGCTGGCCCGACACTGCTGACAGACAGGGGCATGTACAGAGCTACTGGGGAGCTGTGCCTAGGCCACACGGTGCGTCAGTTATAAATCAGCACCGAGCTGTGGGCGCGCGCTCGCTCGCAGCTGACCTGTCAGGAGGGACGGTTCAGTCAGTAGGTGACACTGAGGCAGACAGACAGAAGGAAGTAGGGCTACTTGTTCCATCTTTCACTCGAGCACTGAGGACAGTCAAACAGGTGGATGTAAAGGCATGGCTAGGTTTTCCAGGTTCTCGTGTTTGTCTAAAAATGCCTTCACGTGCCACTCTTTTCAGAGCAAGGTTATGACCATCCCCTTCTGACCCTGGGCACCATGGCAGCAACACGCACCGGCTTTTTGGAGTCTTCCACTTCTCGGATACTCAGATTTTCTAAGGGGATGATCCCACGGGGCTCTTTATCCTGGAACAGGAGCAGAAAGACGTCACTCACAGCCGAGGAAATACCTGTTTATTTGTCCTCAGCCGGTCCTGACTCCTCCCTCTCAGGCATGAAGCTCCCAGGTTGACTTCAGCCACCCTTGGGATCTACAACAAGACCAGGGTCAGGAGTGTGTGGTCTGACTGGGAAAAATCCAAAGTCCTCTGCAGATAACAAGGCCAGGGGGCCCCTCAGATGCCTTCAAAGTGTACCTGGCAATGACCCATGGGGCCTCAAGCAGGGAACAGGTCAGCTGCTTTCCCTGAGAAGCTTTCCCTCCCCCATGTCTTCACCTGGACTCTTCCTTTCCCACGCCCGATGCAGGGCTCCAGATGACTTTCCTACTGCCCCATTCTTCACCGCTCGTCAGCAGCAAGTGTGACCCTCAGAGTAGCGCTGTCCTGCACAGCTGCTCCAAGATCCACAGAGGCAGCTGAGCTCAGGTCCAGACAGACCCTCCCCCTTCCCCCATCACGTCAGTCACGGCCCCCACCATGGACACACTTCCACCCCTACCAGCCGGGAAGCCTTGGTCAAGGCCTGCTGCTCCCCAAACACGCTGATCAGAGTTACACACGCACAATGTGTCAACAAACAAACAAACAAACAAACCCATTAACCAACCAACCAAATCCTCTTCTATGACTGTATAAAGACAAGCCGGCAAGCATGCCTTTCCCCCATTTCCCGGGCCCTGCAGGGACAGTTACCCTCCTCCCGCCAATCCATTTAGCTCTGGCCCTATCTGAGCTGCTTCTATGAACTTCCAGTAGCATCTACTGAGAAAGACGCGGCCCTTCCTGTCTTGTCCCTCGGTAATCAAGCTGGAGCACCTCTCTGCTCCTTGGGCTATGCCACGCAGCAGCTAATCTGGACCAGGCAGTCTACTCTTCCTTCGCTCACCGCCTTAGCTGGGTGGTGAGCGTGCACATCCACCACTTTTCTATTGAGCGGCACCCAAATCAATCCCATGTGTTGTGTCTTGCCATCTCCTTTCTTAGGCTGATTCATACTGAGCATTCTCCTATTCTTAACTTGGCGGCCAAGTCCCTCCCAGAGCCAGCTGGCCTCTAAGCCTGGGGACATATTACCCCCAAGTCTGCGGCTGTCCACGGTTTCACTGCCTGAGGACCCAGTTCACAATTAAGATCTCCCCCATTATACTGGGTGCTGTCGCTTTGGCGGGGTGCATCTTCCGCCAACGTTCTGAGGGAGGGTGCAAGGGCAGGCGAACATGTTCAAGCTCCTGCGGTTGCAGAGTTCTCTATCTGACTGAGAGCTTGGCTGCATCTAACCGTGTGGGCAGAGAGTGCATCCTCCAGACTGTGACTGACACCTGGCACCCTCAGCTCCCAGGCTGTTCTGTGTAGGTCTCTCTGTTGGCTGGAACTGTCCTCTTTGTCCTCCGGGTACTGAGACTCGGTAAGGATTTGGTGGGGTCTGTTGCTAGTCTTGATGCAGAGTAGCCTGGAGACATGTTTTCATTTGGGGTTGGTCTTAAGTGGTTGCTAGTCTCTTTCTGGGCCATATGGGACCTCTTGGGAGTTCCCGTCTCCCGTCTCATTTTCTCTGTGTCCTTGTACTTGTTCTGGAAACCATGGTTCTTTCAGCCCTTCTACCGCATTTACGACTGGCATGTTTTATTTCTGAGAGCATGTCCGTCTGTCTGCTCCTGAGCTCACTGCTCCCCTGTCCCTGGCTGCTGCTGCAACAACAGGCCATCTCTCTGAGACAGCATCAGGCTCCTCTCTGTCCTTTCCTCCCTCCGGCAAGTTGCTCTGGCCTTTCCCTGCCAATGAGTCACTGGAGAGTGGTGCGCTAAGCTGAGCAAGCTTGTTCCTCTGACAGGTTCCTCTGACAGGTTCCTCTGACAGGTTCCTCTGACAGGTTCCTCTGACAGGTTCCTCTCACAGGTTCCTCTGACAGGTTCCTCTGACAGGTTCCTCTGACAGGTTCCTCTCACAGGTTCCTCTCACAGGTTCCTCTGACAGGTTCCTCTGACAGGTTCCTCTGACAGGTTCCTCTGACAGGTTCCTCTGACAGGTTCCTCTCACAGGTTCCTCTCACAGGTTCCTCTGACAGGTTCCTCTGACAGGTTCCTCTCACAGGTTCCTCTGACAGGTTCCTCTCACAGGTTCCTCTCACAGGTTCCTCTGACAAGTTCCTCTCACAGGTTCCTCTGACAGGTTCCTCTGACAGGCCTCTTCTGGGGCATTGGTCACTCGCATGGCAGTTACAGGAGGGGAGATACCGCATTTACCTGAGTTCCCCTGACCCTCCTATGTGCACACAATGCCCACCCTTAGCAGACCCACAGTGTTCCCTTCTCCTGAGGAGGAACCCCAGACAGCTGCAGGAGGGGCGGCCACCGGCTTCTTCAATTCCCAGACCATTTCCCCATTCCTCTTTCTTTCCCTCCACTTTCGTTTCCAGGCCACGTGGTGCCCGGCCATCTTGAGGGTTCGGATGTTGAAGTGGGTTGTCAAGTCATGCTCACGTAGGCCCTTGTGAGGCCACGGTTTCTTTACTCTCCTAGACGGCAGGGGCCTGAAGCAACGAGCTACACACACACGGTACACAGCCTGTGTTCTGGATGTGCAGTCGCAGATCAAAAGGAGTGAGGACCAGCTCTGGAGCCCCTTGCGAGCGGCCAGGGAGACCCTGGGCCCTTTGGGGATCTCCCACAGGTAAGTTCTGCAGGCTAGTGGCGGCTGAAGTAAGCCAGCAATGCTCACTCATGCGCACCCCACAGAACCTGGAGAGCACTGGGAATTGTGGGTCCCAGCAACTCAATGTTGTTGCTGGCTAATAACGTCAAGTCCAAAATATGAAATGGGTCCTTGTGCAGAACTCTCATTCTGTAGCTCTATGTGGACTTTCAGGGGCTCGAAGTACCGCTCAACAGGAGTACTGGGTCCTATCCCTAGCACCAGAAATAAAATAAGCAAGTAATTCCATATCAAGTCCAGGAGCAGACCCACGGTACACCTCACCACTGGCTCATCTATACTATATCCCTCATCGGCTGTATTCCCCGATGGGGACAGAAATAACCAGTGCCAAGACCTTTGGCCTATGTGGTTTGTAAAAACATGACTTGTTCATTATAAAGAACTTAAAACACTGCAGAAAAGAACAGAAGAAAAAAAGAAAAAGGGTTTTTTTGTTTGGTTGGTTTTTGGTTTTGTTTTTTTGAGACAGGGTTTCTCTGTGTAGCCCTAGCTGTCCTAAAACTCACTTTGTATGTCAGGCTGGCCTAGAACTCAGAAAGATCCACCTGCCTCTGCCTCCCAAGTGCTGGAATTAAAGGCATGTGCCATCACTGCCTAGCTAGGAAAAAGTTTTTCAACACTCCAAATCAGATCACCTGGTGACCATGTGGACGGGGATGGGAAGGGGCGGGGTGGAGTGCTGGTGTGACGTAGAGGGAGAGGAACATGTCTGTGAGGATGGGCTATTTCACGTAGCATTTTCATAAGGTATCCTATTAAGAAAAACTTGAGGCAGAAAGTGAAAACATGTGAACTTCAAGGAAAATGCTTCTTAGCCATAAAAGACCATTCTTAAAGTAAAAACTGCTAGGCATTTAGTCTGTTTTGGAAATGTCAGTGTTCTTCCTACTGCTTGGTTCCTGTTGGCACTGACTTCATTTGACACTTTCCGGATTTCTCAGGCCCCCAGCCTGTCCTGCAGCTGCAGGGTTCAGTTACTTAGTACAGGCTGAATCCATCCGGGGTCTTGGCACAGTTCAGGTGGACCCTGTATTCCACGCTGCTTTCAGACTTGGGACATTTAGCAGCAGGTCTATAGCTAAGTAACCCAAGTCCCAGCTCTGTGTTGAGCATCAGTTTATACGGAGCGTCTTTTATAGTGTCTGTGTTTAAGGAAATGTCAGCGTGGGTCCTGCTTTTCAGTGTGACTGGCAGCAGCCCTCAGGACAAGGTCCCCATGTGGGCAGTCTGGCTTTGGTTGCACAGCTCGGTGCATGGTACTGTCAACTGCAGTTTTCCCCACTGCAGATTTCAGCACTGGCCCCTTAGGTCCGCATACTTGGCTGGCTGAGCTCAGTATGTCTATTCCAGACCTAAGTGAAAGAGGTCGGCAGCCATCCCCACCCACGCTACCCCTCCCCCACCTACACTCCCACCTTCTGCATCCTGGGAACAACCCACCAATGTGAAACTGATTTTGCAGGTATCAACTTTCTGGCACTGAAATTGTGTCCTGTCCCTGGCACCCATTAGCTCACTTCTGACTTTACTGCCTTCCCCCGCAGGAAGTGAGGGCGTCATTAGTTAATGTGTCCCCTCCTTTAACGTTTACACAGTCCCCACCAACGTATAGTGATGCAAAAATGCACAGCTTTGGCTCTCATGAGCTGAAGTCCCATTCTGCCTTCTAGATCATTCTGGTCACTATTTAAATGACTCTGGACGATTCTCCTGGAATTTCTGGGGGCCTGGTATTTGCCATTCTAAGGCCTGGAGGCTGCTTGTGTGCATGTCCAGGGAGGGGCTTCCTCCTCCTCCATCGCCAGCCTGTGCCTTCCTCCAGGCCAAAGGGTGGCATGGGCTGACCTCACACCCAGGCTGCTGCAGAGCCACTCTGCAACTCCAGCTACTACCCCTGTGCCAGAGCAGGGTGACCCAACCGTAGCGCCCTTTCCTGGTCTGGCTGCCTCACCCTCGCACTCAGCCTCACTAGGGTCCTCTGTCAGGGGTTTGCAGCCCTTGCTGCCTAGGCCCCTAGAAAGTCAAAGGAAGGAAGTGCTTGGGAGGGTGGGGGCCCAGAAGTAGCCAGGGGGCTACTGAGCCGTTTGTCCCAAGTACCCTGGGGTGGAACAAGGAGACTCTTTCTTCCCCTTTTTATATACTTAGCACACTGTTCTAACGTTTGAAGAGCGAAGGCAGTTGCAGAACTTGGCTGGCCTGAGTGGGGCCCTGGTGAGAAGCGCCCTGGAAACAACGCCCTGTCAGGCTCACAGGACATCATCAGCATGAGTGTCTGAACACTCTATGTGATAGCCTGGAACTCACTATGTAGGCCAAGCTAGCCTCAAGCTCGTGGTAATCCTCCAGTTGATTTTTTTTCTATTACTTAAACACTGTTGTGCTCCATCTTTATACAAAGGAGGCTTCAACCCTGTTTTCTCAGTGGGATAAATGTTACTCAGTGAAGATCCAGTCAAGTTAACTACACTGACCTAGTTCGAGACCCAAGTCCAATATGAATGCAAGCAGAACCGCCTCTGTGCCTGCAGGTGTCCAGGAAGATGGCAGGAACACCAGAGTGCCATGTCACCAGTGTGGGGAGTCATGGTCTGAGCACCAACAACCTATGGCTTTCTGGGTGCTCTGCCCACAGGAATTTTATTGGGTACTTTTTATTCCTACAGCTACAAAAGGTACCTGCTGTGACATGCCCTTGCAGTGAAGAGTGATCCTACTGAGGAGACACCAGCAGAGCTTCTGTGGTGTCAGGAAACTCAAGGATTCTCTCAAATGGGTTTACCCGTTTCATCTTCCTCCTTTCCCCTACTCTTCCCACTGAGACAGCTCCATCTGAATCAAATCCTTGGGCGTTTCTGAGGCTCCAGAAAATTGAAATTCTCCAAATCACAGTCATTCCCCTGTCACCAGGTCCACAGGTCTTTCTTGACAACTCGCTCCAAACAGCCCCGAAGCTGTGTCCACTGCATCTTCTCACTGCTGCAGCTTGTGTGTGCCGAGGACCCATGCTGGCTCTGGGCCGCCCCTCCACACCCTTGTTAGGGCCCTACTCTGAGATTTACCTCAGTCCTTCCCTGGCCCCAGGGAAGTAGAAGGACAGAAGGGACTCTCTCCCAGGTCCCCTCTAGCTGTGTTTGCTTAGAGTGGTTTGGACGCAGAGGATTGGGCCACCCTGGCCCACGTGGACCAGCAGATACTCACCGTGGTGTACTCAAAGTAGTAAAGGCAGTTGTCAGTCAGAATGAACCAGCGTCTCTTCCAGGTCTTCACCCTGCCACCTGAGAGCAAAAAGAAGGTGCCCTTGACAAGAGACACCAGGCAGGGCAGGTGCGTGCTACACACACACACACACACACACACACACACACACACACACACACACACACACACACAGCTCTCTTCCCAGGGAGGGGATGGGGCTGGGCAGGGTGTCAGGAGAACATTTAGACCATGGCAAAATTTACATCAGTGACAAGACACAGCCAAGACAGAAGCGTCTTTCACAGAGTGAAAGCCTATGGTATGAGCAGAGCAAGCATGCCTGGTGACACCCTGAGATGTCCCAGACAGCAAGATGAAAGCATGGGCGAGGGAGGAAAGCCCAGGGCATGACGGTGCAATGCAGGTGTACCTCAGGCTGCAGGAGTCAGCCACACCCCGTGTGACAGAGACAGGCTAGAAAGGAAGGGAGGGGCCAGCATCCTGTGTGACAGAGACAGGCTAGAAAGGGAGGGAGGGGCCAGCATCCAGTGTGACAGAGACAGGCTAGAAAGAGAGGGAGGGGCCAGCATCCTGTGTGACAGAGACAGGCTAGAAAGGGAGGGAGGGGCCACACCCTGTGTGACAGAGACAGGCTAGAAAGGGAGGGAGGGGCCAGCATCCTGGTGCAGGGTGCATGGGCAGGGAGTTCCATGGAAGTGGGAGGAGAAGATAGAGAAAGTGAGGTCCTGTGAGCCCTTACACCCAAACCACGGACTCCCTTACGCGCCGCTGTGGTGACATTCTATGTACACTGGCTTCAGCCACCTTAGTGTCCTGAAAATGGTGTCTTTGGAGTTCTGGGTGTGAACTGAAGCCGGCTCCCTCACCAGGAAAGGACTAGCTTATCCCAGAGGTGGGCTCCGGAGCCTTCCCATTGGGGACTCATGTGACTCTGTAAAACCATGTAACTACAAGAGGAAGCCCTAACAGCTAGGAGGTGGTGACTAGCAGCTGTCCGGGGCCTCCTCAGTCCTCTTCAATGCTAGTGAGACTTATGTAGCAAAGTGTGGGCTCTGTGAAGTTACTCTGCATTGGGTGCTGTGAGGGCATGCTGAACTGTGCCCACTGGTACAGAGGAGTATTGCTGAACTGTGCCCACACTGAAGGAAGCTACAGCCTCACTGCATGGTGCTCAGGATCCCTCCACCCCCACTTACCTCTGGTCAAGGGAAGACTGTCTTGACAGGAACCATTCAGCATTCCCCAGGGCCTTCCATGCTGAGACACACAGCATTGCATAAACACACTTTGTCCCTGATCCTTAGTGCCTGCCCTTTGCTGGGGCCAATTATTGAAAACATCATTCCTCTATAGTCTACATGGAGGGCAGGGGAGCGGGACACCTGCCACGCCCATTCCTCTGACCTCTTGCTAACAGCCATGCAGAGAAGGGCAACTTTACAGACTGTTTCCAAGTGCCAGCATCTGCCTGCAGGCTCATCCCTGAAGCTCAGAGAAGAAAGCGGTCCAGCGGAACAGATTAGGACCTAGACCTTTCTGGGCCACTTTAAAGCTCTGCCTGGGTGTCTGAGCTGGAGGGGTGGGGAAGGAGGTGTAAGCAGCCATCATTAACTACAAGATTCCAAATGACTAAGAGCTAGGTTTCCAGATGGAGTATGCCCCAAGCAATCATGTGCCAGCCACCACCCCTCCCGTGTGGTACACAGAGAGGCACTCTCCCTCATGGTGACCTGTAGGTTTCATGGAAGCATCCCAAGGTTAAGAGGCATGAACGGGAAAAGACGTAAGAGTAATGTGACATGCATGTTGGCAACAGGGAGGGCTGGGCAGATTTAGAACAGATGAGAAGACAGAGAATGTTGGTCTTAAATGGACCCCTCCCATTTCTGAGTGAGAGCTTCTGTCTTCCAGCCTCTTGGGGAGACCATTTCCTGTACAGGGCTTGGTACACAAGGATGGTCAACCCATGCTGAACTCCCATGCACTCTGCCACAGTACACTACCCCAGGTGACAGTGGGACTCGGGAAATGAGGGGAAAGTGAGTTAGGTACCAAAAGGCAAAAGACGGCTGGAAACCAAGGAGAAAAAGCAAGGCTGGGAAGCCTCCCGGGCTGTAAAAGCTTCCTTCCGGCCCCTGGACGGTTTGCTGCACCACAGAGCCCTCTACCACAAAGCATCGCTGCGGGCCCACGGGGAACACTTCCACGTGGAAAGAGAAACAGACATGGGACAAGCAGACAGATCGATGTGCGCCTAGGACAGTCCCTGTGGAACTCACAGGACCCCTCCCACGCAGGGCTTAGACAGAGGGCTGACCCCGTCCTTGCTGCTGTGCCTGGTCCAGCACTGCAAGGGACGCCTGTGTTTGTTCTCTTAGGCGGCCCTGCTCTAGGCACACTTAGGCACAGACCCAAGGAGCCTGCTGGTTCACCCAAGGAGCCTTCTGGTTCCTTCAAATGTTTCCTCATATTGGCAACCAGAGAACTAGGAGGCCAGTCTAGGTTTTGAGGATGACTCTTTGAAACAGAGGAGGATTCGGGCTGTGAAGCCTCCCTCATAGGCAAGAAATGGAATCAAGGGCTACAGGTAGGGGTTTCTGGTTTGAAGGTTTTAAAATTTCCACTTGGGGGTTTGGGAGACACCATTTCTCTTTCTCATGGAAAGGCAGATGCCCCAAGTGCTATCAGTTAATCTTTTCTTAACTTCTCTGTCCACCATGTGCCAGAGTGCGTGGCCTTGGGGAGTTGTGAGGCAGCTCCCTTTCTTTGATCCCCAAGTCAGAAATTACGTTTGATCAGGCTGACGCACAGGTGTCAGTTAGAACTTGGTGATTCCCAGGAGCTCAAAGCCAGCGCTCCTCCGCCTCCTCAGCTCCCCCGGGCTAGGACTGCACCGCTACTTGCAGTTCGGGACCTGCAGCCTGGCAGCGGCTGGCCCACTCTCTCCTCCAGCAAGAGGAAATGTGAGCACTGCCCCAAACCCCGGATCCTGGCCAGTTCCCTAGGGACTGTACAGCAAGTTAGAAGCAGCATTAACACTACTACCAGCAATTAAAAAACAAAATAACCAAAAATAACAAACTAAAATGCTGCAGCAATGACAGTGGCCTGGGCAGAGTGAGCGAGCAGGTTGCAGGGTTACATACCTCCTGGAGTTTGGGGCAAGGAAAAGGAGAGCCAAAATCATGGAAACATATAAATGAGGGAGAAAAGAAAATTAAAACAAAGAAATCAAACCCGATTCCTCAATCTTAAAGTGCAGTGCACCAGTGGCATTTATGTATGCCTGGAGAGGGAGGGACACTTGGAGACACTGATGGGCAGGTCACCTCTATGCTGTACAGCAAGGTTGGAGGCCTTACCCACACCTGATCTAACAGAGCCACAAATCCATTGTTTTACAGCTGGCGTTTGCCAGACCCCTCACAGACCAGAGTAAGAGGGGACGTGTACTTCTGAGGAAGCCAGCATCTTCCTTAAGACACATGCCATTCTTTAAATGTGTGCAAGGATGCACGCATGTACACCTGTGGATACACATGTACATATGTGTGTGCATGAGAACACAACGCTTATGGCTCCCTGCATACAGGGACAGATGCAGACAACTATAGATGGCACAGAGTCCCAGCCTGTGCAGCACACAGACACACGGGGCTGGGTCTCAGCGTGCCACAGTGAGACACCCTACCGGGAGTCTCGGAGGTTAGGAGACGGGAAGCGATGGCCCCACGATGAATGAGTGCCATATCACGGGGCTCTTATTCCTTGGGATAAGGCCTTGCTCTGTCACCAAGCTGGCCCATCTTACGGGCTCCAGGGACCCTCCTGCTCTGTCTCCTAAGTGTCTGGGACAAGTCTGCACCATTGCACTCAGCTTAAGTTTTTGATTTTTAAAAATATAGGATGCTTCATGAATTTGCATGCCATCCTGGCACAAGAGTCAAGATAATCTCTGTTCTAATTTTAGTGTCTCAGCTGTCAAAGCCAACACTTAGCATTCGCATGGAAACAAATTTCCCTGGAGGGGGAAGTAAATCTAGATTTGGGGACTTTTGAAATTCCCAGCACATTTCCTCTTCATGGGTGGGTTGGGCAAGAGGAATGTGGAGAAGGTCACCGGTGGGTGGGACGTTTCTGAGCCTTCTCTTCAGATCCCCTTTAGAGATCACTGACTGTTGGCCACGTGTAGACACTGCACGACTCTAATCGGTGAAGCCACGCACGAAAGGACTTCACGGATCGTGATGTGTAAACGCAGGCTTCGGGCCTTGTGAAGGAAACATCAACCCTGAGCTATCTGGATGAGGCAGCAGCGGAGGGCGGGTCATCTTACTTTCCTAGGTGTGTCAGCAATGGCCAAGGGTGGGATGCTGCTTGCTGGGGCAGGTAACCAAGGTTGAAGAGGAGCGCGTCTCTAATGAAACACTCCCTGCTGCTTTGGGGCCTAGCTCATTAAAGGCCAAGGCAGAAGGAAACTGCAATGTGCTCTCTAGTGGTCAAAAAAGAAAAAAAACAAAAACAAAAAAAGCCCACCTGAACATTATCATGTCCAGAGAGTTCAGAGACCTCTCTTACGTCTGATAATTAATAAACCAGTCACAGTGGACATGAATGTGCATGAGATCCCAGAGAAGCTCTTGTGTCTGGTCACTCTGTCACCTTCCTGGCGAGGCATGACCATAAATCTTAACAACACAGGTGCACGTGTGCCAGAGGGGGGAGGAGTGCACCTGCAGCTTTCGGATGACGCAATCATTAATGTGGCTGATTGGCACGGGGAAGGGGGCCACGGCCAGAGCATGAGGAAGAGCGCTGTGGTTTGCGCGGCAGCCGAGGGCTCTAGGTTTGCCATGCACACTGCATGTGGAGCCGGATGCAGAGGGGAGTGATGATGCCTGGGGGGGGGGGCAGGAGTGCCGGGGGAGATCGGATGGGAAGTAGAGATGGGTGTGGCTGGTCACCCTCCCAAGGGTGAGGGGGCAGGAGTGGGGGATGGACCAGGTCCCCAGAAAGTGCCTTGAAGAATGTAGCCATCTATTCGGGAGTGAACACACAAGGGACAGTGTTTATCAGGGTGGGGTCTGTGTCCAGGAGTCTCCGTTCTACGGTGAGTGGCCGTCAGCAGCACCCTCTCTGGAGGCGGACTATTGTAGGAACACAACTCAGGGCAGTCTCTGTGGGATGTCCACCCACCCACCTGTGACCTGCCCCTGCCCCACCGCCCAAGCCTCCGAGCACGTAGCCCTTCTTCCTGAGCTGTTCCAGGGGCCCCAGGCTGGCGGAGGGGACCTACCGAGTTTCAGCAGCCAGCCTTCTCGGTCCGGATTGAAGAAAGTGTGAGTGAGGTCGTTCCCATCATCTTCTGGGATTTTAAAGGGCTCGTTTTTTATGCTTTCGTAGAGATTCTGGGGTAGAAGGTGACACAGGTGTCTCATTCCACAAGTATCGGTTCTTTCTCCCCTCTCTCTACTCCTTCCACAGGCAATCGCTGTGAGCCTGCAGTGAGAACTAGGGAGGAATACAACCACTCTTCTGCTCTACCGCAGCTCACGGGGACAAAAATAAGATGCCTGGTAGATAATTGAGGAATTAAAAATAGCAGCTTGGAGTCTACTCAAAGCTTTAGTTTCAGAGTTGGAAGCTGTTTCCCCTTCCTGTTTCTCAGCTGGCCTTTGCGAAACCTACATGTTTAAATGAACTAAGAGGGCAGGCACTTGGCAACTTATCCTTCTGACCCCTCTGCAGCTCAGACAAGGCAGCTCTGGCCCTGCTCACCCGGAGCAGCTCCTCGGGCAGGTCTCCACCATCGTTGATGCCTCGGTTCATGGCGATGAACCTCTCCACCGTAGGCTTGTCCTTGACGTTGGGGTTGTGCAGGCTGGTATTCAGCATTATGATGGCAAAGGAGAGGACGTAGCAAGTGTCTAGGGACGAGAAGAGCATGATGTGAGAGCAGAGGAAATGCCCACCCAGAACAGGAGACACCAAGCCAAGTAAGAGCAGGGGTACAAAACCGTGTGCAGGAAGGGTGGGTGAGCCGGGTGCACGCATGCTCCCAGGCTATGCTCCTGAAACGGGCAAGGCACATGAGTGCACTAAAGACACTCATTTGTTCTTCAGACAGAAAAGAACAGGAAAACAATCAATGGCCAGCCGGGCATGGTGGAGCATGCCGTGAGTCCCAGCACTCAGCAGGCAGAACTCCTGTGAGTTCCAGCACAGCCTGGTCTCTAAAGGGGGTCTAGGCCATCTAGAGTCTCACAACAAAACCCCCAAAAATACAATGTATAAAAAGATAAAAACTACCTACAATTCTATTTAGCAATAATTTGGTTTGCTTTATTTCTTCTATATAAACATGACTATGTAATAAAATCACTTTACAGACACGATAATACACTGTCCTGCAATACATACAAATGGAATAGGTATTACATACAGGATAGGTACATGCACATACACAAGTGATAGATAAACACACACATGATAGATAAACACACACACATATATACACATATAAACACACATACACACGTACATATACATACATATAACACACATACATACACACACATGTATACACACATACACACTCATATATACACATACACATATATACATATATACACACATATATATATACATACATATGCTTTTCTGTCAATCTTATCATTTTCCCTTACCAATATCTTTATAAGAACATGATTTTTCTTTTCTTTCTTCTTAACAAGGTTGTGCTTAAGTAGCTAACTACAGTCTTGACTCTGCTTCTGCCTCCTGAGTAGCTAAGATGACACACAAAGGCAACAGCTTCTAAAGACATCTGTGACTGTTATGTCTGGTAACTCTGAACCCAGGCCCTCATGCACACAAGGCAAGTTCTCCACCCACCACTGACCACACCCAGGTCTTTATCGTCTCAGGGTGGGTTTCTGGATGCTTCCAGTCTCTTGCTGTTATGCACACCATTAAGAAGCTGCCCTTGCAAAGGGGTCAGGACCATGGTGGGGAACCCACAGAAACAGCTGACTGGAGCAAGAGGGGAGCTCACTGACTCCAGACTGACAGCTGGGGGACCTGCATAAGACAGAACCAGGCCTCTGAATGTGGGTGACCCCTGGGTGACTTGGGCAGTTTGTGGGGCCATTAGCAGTATTTATCCCTAGTGCAAGAACTGGCTTTTTGGAGCCCCTTCCCTGTGGAGAGATACCTTGCTCAGCCTAGATACAGGGGGAAGGGCTTTGGTCCTGACTCAAGTGCTATAACAGACTTTGTTGACTCCCCATGGGAGGACTCATCCTCTCTGAGGAGTGGATGGGGGTGGGATGGGGGGAAGGGGGGAATTCAGGAGGGAGAGAGAACTGGAATTGGTATGCAAATTAAGATTGTTTTTTAAAAGAAAGAAATGAAGGAAGGGAGGAAGGGAGGGAGGGAGGAGGGAGGGAGAGAGGACAGGATGAAGGAAGGAAGGAAGGAGGAAGGAAGGAAGGGAGGGAGGACAGGATGAAGGAAGGAGGAAGGAAGGAGGAAGGAAGGAAAGAAGGAAGGGAGCAAGGAAGGGAGGAAGGAAGGAAAGAAGGGAGGGAGGAGGAAGGAAGGAAAGAAGGGAGGAAGGAGGAAGGAAGGAAGGGAGGGAGGAAGGAAGGAAGGAAAAAAGGGAGGAAGGGAGGAGGAAGGGGGAAGAAAGGAAGGAAGGAAAGAAGGGACGGAAGAGGAAGGAAGGAAAGAAGGGAGGAAGGAGGAGGAAGGAAGGAAAGAAGGGAGGAGGAAGAAAGGAAGGGAGGGAGTAAGCGAGGGAGGAAGGAAGGAAAGAAGGGAGGGAGGAAGAAGGAAGGGAAGAGGAAGGAAGGGAAGAAGTGAGGGAGGAAGGAAGGAAAGAAGGGAGGAAGGAGGAAGGAAGGAAGAAAGGAAGGAAGGAAAGGGAGGAAGGAAGGAAGGAAAGAAAGGAGGAAGGAAGAAGGAAGGGAGGGAGGAAGAAGGGGGGAGGAAGGAGGAAGGAAGGAATGAAGGAAGGAGGAAGGAGGAAGGAAGGAAAGAAGGGAGGAAGGAAGGAGGAAGGAAGGAAGGAAAGAAGGGAGGAAGGAAGGAGGAAGGAAGGAAGGAAAGAAGGGAGGAAGGAAGGAGGAAGGAAGGAGGAAGGAGGAAGGAGGAAGGAGGAAGGAAGGAGGAAGGAAGGAGGAAGGGAGGGCTCTTTGCATGGACTCAGCCTCTTGTCTTGGAAATCCTCCACTGCCAAGAAAGAATCTTGTGGAAAAAGCTCTCCCGGCACTCACACAGAGGACTCTCCTCACCTGTGGACTGGAACACCCCGTTATTGCACTGGCAGTACCGCTGAGCAAAGGCCTCCATCATCCGGTCGATCTTCTGGGCCTCTCCAGGCAGCCGGAAACTCCACAGGAACTGCCTAAGGGTGGAGACAGGAGCTTTGTTCTGACCTGGCTGCTGCTGCTGCTGGCTTTAACAGCAGAGGGCAAAGGGTGTGAGGGGTCTCAGTCATCTGATGAGTCGTGTGGGCGCAGGGCACAGGGTGAGTTCTGCAGTTGCTGTATGTATTAAAATCATAGCTCCAGGGCTGGAGAGATGGCTCAGCGGTTAAGAGCACTGGCTGCTCTCCCAGAGGACTTGAGTTCAATTCCCAGCAATCACATGGTGGCTCACAACCATCTGTAATGAGACCTGGTGCCCTCTTCTGGCATGTAGGGATACATGCAGACAGAACACTGTATACATAATAAATAAAAAATCACAGCTCAAAAACTAAGATCAGGAGTTATACCTACAGCAGAAAAAATTAAAAAGACAATTTCTTTAAAAGGCACAGAATAAGCTTGGTTAAAAAATTAAAGTTGCTGGGCGGTGGTGGCACATGCCTCTAATTCCAGCACTCTGGAGAAAGAGGCAGGAGGATCTCTGTGAGTTCAAGGCCAGCCTGGTCTACAGAATGAGTTCCAGGGCAGCCAGGACTACATAGATAAACCTGGTCTTAAAAAAATTAAACAAAAAAAGTTGATCTTTTTTTCATTTTAAATTAAATACACAGCTACCTAGTTTAGGGTAAGAAACTAAAGGTTTTCTATTCTGAAGAGTAGAAACAATTTCATCAGTATTTAATGAATAAACAGTCCTTCCACCCAAGACCAAGACACAGTCCTAGCAAACGGTTTCCCACTCACAGGCAAGTATGTTACCTGGCCATCCTTGGAATACTTCACGGTAGCCACAACAACCCCAGTGACAAGACTTTAGTCAGACAGCGTACAGGACAGACAGGCTCCCACCCCACGGTGCCCGGCTGACCACACCCACCTCAAGGCCTGGACGAGGTTCAGGTCGGTGAACTCGTGCAGCTCTACAAAGGCATGCAGGACCTGGATGCTGAACTCATCTCTGCCAGGAAACCAACGAGAGACGGAAGGGAGCACACGTGAGACCCGGGACACTGAGGCCAGGACCCATCCCGCTCCCAAGCAGACGATGTCCTGAGTCCCGGGCCAAGGGGCCTCTCGAGCCTGGCCACCCACAGTCAGGAGGACGCTGGACTGGCTCTCTTTACTCACTAAACAAGGAAGGAGCCTGCACAGCCATGGACAGGTAAGTTAGTGCTCCCCAAGACACCTCCACTCAACACCACAGTCCCGCCCCGCACTTGGGCACCGGGGGCTTCTTTCTTCCCGTGATCCTGACACCCTCTCTAACGGCCTCACCTCTCCCCAAGGTAGTCCCCAATGGCTGTCTTGTTGAGCCCCTCCCCTTTGTATAAGAACTGGGCAATGTCTTCACAAGTGTTCTTGAGCAGGTCGTTCTCTATCAAGAACTGGATCCCCTGCAGAAAGACCAGAGAGAGCCGGTGAGGGCGAGCCGGGCAGAGGCTGCCGAGCCCAGAAAACGTCCACAGTGGACACTGGGGTGGAGGCAGTGCAGGTTAGGAACCAGAGCCCCAGACGCAAGACAGTGGGGGGAGCCACCAACGGTGACTCCAGAGAGCAGCTGCGTAGAACAGACTCGCCCAGTCTCCACCCCATCCCTAAGAGAGCCCCCACCTGAAGACCCGGGCAGGGGCCTCGTCCCTTTCTTCTTCACTTACCTTTTTAGGGTCCATGTTGAATTTCTTCCTGCCCATGGCTACCTGTTTGTTCCTCTGCATGTTTTTCCTGAAAGAGAAATGCAGCCATTAGTGCTCTGGCTGCTGAGTCTCACACACAGATGCTGACGGAGTCTTGGAAGATTGGTCTAGCTAAGTGTGGTCAGCTGGTGCCCAGGCCCAGGCCCAGGCTCATTTGCCTCTTTCGCTCTAGATTCTTGGTTTCCCTTAGAATTTTTATTTTCTTAAACTTTGTCGTCTACAGCCGGGCGGTGGTGGCACATGCCTTTAATCCCAGCACTCGGGAGGCAGAGGCAGTCGGATCTCTGTGAGTTCGAGGCCAGGCTGGACCAACAGCCTCCAAAACAATACAGAGAAACCCTGTCTCGTAAAAACCAAAAAAAAAAAACTTTGTCGTCTACATATTGTAGAATCTGTCCATTTTAAGTATACACCTGGATGGCTTTTAGCAAGCTAAGCTGTGCAACAACTACCATAACCAGTTTTAGAACATTTTCCTCAGTCCGACAAAGTTTCCCACACCCACTTCCAGTTCACGCACATTCCTACCTCAGGCCCCCGGGACTCTCAGTCTACCTGCTACGCAGACATCTGCCTAATTCTGGACTTTGAGATGTAGAGACTCATGGAGGTCTGGACTTCTGTTCCTAATTCTGGACTTTGAGATGTAGAGACTCATGGAGGTCTGGACTTCTGTTCCCGGCTTCTTTCTCTTGCCGTGTTGTCTTCAAGGTTCATTAACACAACGCTCCTGTCTACTGCTGAGCAATGCTCCTCTACAAGTCTACGTCTATCTGCTCTTCAGATGACAGATGTAGAGTCAAGTTCGGGGCACGCACTACCCACAGGGCTGCTATCAGCACCTGTCCACCCTTGTGGTAGCCATGTTTTCCTCTCTTTCAGGCAGAAGAGTCAAGGTTGTATCTAGATGGGTCAGGGACTTTTAAATTTAGCTTTTTATGATGCCTACAAGCAAGCAGCAGTTTTCTTAACTGTGCCTCAGACTAAACAAATGCAGGTTTACACACCATGCTTCTCAGGGTGCGGCCCAAATCAGCTGAGGGAGCGAGTCAGACATGCAGAATGCGGCTCTCACTCACGCACATGCTCCCGGGCCCTGCCCCGGCAAACTCTCACCCAGTGGTCTGTGAAGGGTCAGGGCTCCTGTCCATTTTATTCAATCCCACAAACAATTGAGTTACAGGTTCTGGCCACTGAGTGACTCTGTTTTAGGGGTAGCATCTGGGTGACATTTTAAACCCTCCTGTCTGGTATACACTTGGGAATCAAGAGCAATTTACAGTTTTTTTTTTTTTTTTTTTGGTTTTTCGAGACAGGGTTTCTCTGTATTGTTTTGGAGGCTGTCCTGGAACTCGATCTGTAGACCAGGCTGGCCTCGAACTCACAGAGATCCACCTGCCTCTGCCTCCCGAGTGCTGGGATTAAAGGCGTGCACCACCAACGCCCGGCGCAATTTACAGTTTCTGAGCAAATGCGTTATTCAGAAATCATTTATTTACTGTTGTAAGGAGCACATCAGCATTGGCCAAGTCCCCAGAGGTGGAAAGCCCCTCTTTTCTTTTTTCCTGGTTGAGACAGGGGATCACTCTGTAGTTCAGGCTGGTCTGAAACTCACAACACTCCTCTTGCCTCTGCCTCCCAAGTGCTGGGATTACAGGTGCGAGCTCACTATGCTTGGCCAGACTGACTTGAGGTTTGGAATGAACAGGTGTAAGTCTCAGGTTAGTTGTCTAATTATGCTTTCCCTAAATCCAGGAATATTACTTTGATCCATATTATAAGGAAGGAAGGAAAGAAGGAAGGAAGGAAGGAAGGAAGGAAGGAAGGAAGGAAGGAAGGAAGGAAGGAAGGAAGGAAGGAAAAACCTGCTGGGTGACTTCCTTTGAGTGTGCAATACTTGGAAACCCTACAATGGCAAGGCACATAGCCACCCACACTGGTCCTCCACATCCTTTGCCCTGGTTTGGTTCCTTCCTGGAGGCTTCCTGGCCTCAGGCAAGCCCAGACTCCAGCAGTACACTCCCAGATCTCTGGCAGCTGCAACTGCTGTTTCTGACCACCCTGGGCGCCACAGGGGTGACTGGCTGACTTCACTGGTTCCCATGAATCAGCCCCTCCCAGCCACTCGGCTGCAGCTTATGACTGCCTGGCATACACACAGGGTGCAGTTGGCTAAAGTTCCCGACTCTCTGTGAGTCAGCTCCTGTCTCTACCTGTCTAGCATTGCTGTTTCTGATGGATGGCACAGTCACTGTAGGTGGCTGGCTAATGTCATCGGTGCATGTGGGTCAACTGTCCCAACTTCAGCACAGTGTCCCTTGGATACCAGCTTTAACAACTAGGTCAGCTTGAGAAAGCTTTATACCCGCAGTATTACATTGTCTCTACTTCTTGCATAGCATTTGGAGTTACTGCTACGGAGTGCTCATCAGGCCTTTGATGGCAAGCATGACAACCTCTGATGGGAAAGCCAGAATGGATAACATCCTGACTACACGGATGCTCAGAATCTGCAGGACAGCTCCCCTTTCAGGAGCTGCAACCCTGGAAACCAGCCTGCACTCAGTTTAAACCATGGGGAAACTGCAACCCTGGAAACCAGCCTGCACTCAGTTTAAACCATGGGGAAACTGCAACCCTGGAAACCAGTCTGCACTCAGTTTAAACCATGGGGAAACTGCAACCCTGGAAACCAGCCTGCACTCAGTTTAAACCATGGGGAAACTGCAACCCTGGAAACCAGCCTGCACTCAGTTTAAACCATGGGGAAACTGCAACCCTGGAAACCAGCCTGCACTCAGTTTAAACCATGGGGAAACTGCAACCCTGGAAACCAGCCTGCACTCAGTTTAAACCATGGGGAAACTGCAACCCTGGAAACCAGTCTGCACTCAGTTTAAACCATGAACCCTCAAGCGGCTCTGGGCTCACAGATGCACTGATGAAAGTCGGTCTTTTTCTTTGTTACCTTTTTTAATTTCTTATTTATTGATATTGTTTGTGTGCACCTACACAATGTATATGCGTGGGTGTGGAGGTCAAAAGACAGCCATGTGGGGTCAGTGCTCCCCTTCCACCAGGGGACGGAACTGAAGTCATGAGGCTTGCAAGGCAAGCACCGTTATGTGCTGAGCCGTCTCGTCGGCCCTATGTATGTACCTCTGAGGGCATCCTTCATGTTTTAAGCTTCATCAGATGACGGCATTGCTTGTTTATGCAAAACCATGGCACCCTGTTGTCCACTCAGACAGAACATCTCCAAACCAGTCACGACTGTCCAGCTCAGGACGGGCAGATCAGGACTGCCTGGGAAGAACTGAGCCCCAGTGAGCAGAAAGCTGAGTTTCTTAAGTTCACCAGCTGAGTGTTCTCAGAGCCTAGCTGCCAATACCACTGGAGTCTGGTGTACACTGGGACTGTGGTAACCCCAGAAGTCCACGCATGCGTGCTGGCATCAAAAGACACAGAAAGGAAGTATACCATGATACTAATCGTGGTTCTCTCTGGGCTGCTGCTGATGGGAAATCTGTTTTCTTCGTGCTTTTCCATCTTTTACCAGTTTACTGCAATAAACATATATTCCTGAAGAGTGAGATGACTCAGCAGGTACAGGGACTTGCGGCTATGCTGACAGCCTAACTCAATCCCCTGGACCCGCGTGGTAGGACAGAACCAGCTCCAGAAATCTGTCCTCTGACTATGTGTGTGCTGAGGCATGTGTGCCCACGTCCACCACACAAACAAACAAATAAATAAATAAATAAAATTCTAGGATAAAAAATCCACTTAGAACCAGGAAAAGTCATTAATTTGCTTTTTAATTCAGGGATAGTTCTCATTCAGTGAAGGCTCACACCCTAAGTGTCCCATTCACAGTTGTGACAGGCATGCATGCCCTGGCAACCACCCCAGATAAAGCCTGCTCCCTTCTTCCCACTAGAGTCTGTTCAGGTCACCCTCTGACACCTGTCAGCATCCGCTGGTCTTTCTGATGGTATATCCTGGGTTTCTATGTGAGCTTTGACAGTAGTGTGTATTATGTCCATGCAGTACTGTGTACACACACGCGGATGGCAGCTTTGACAGTAGTGCGTATTATGTCCATGTGTGTACTATGTACACATGGCGGATGACAGCTTTGACAGCAGTGTGTATTATGTCCATGCTGTACTGTGTACACACACGTGGATGTCAGCTTTGACAGTAGTGTGTACTATGTCCATGTGTGTACTGTGTACACACACGTGGATGTCAGCTTTGACAGTAGTGTATATTATGTCCATGTATGTACTGTGTACACATGGCGGATGACAGCTTTGACAGCAGTGTGTATTATGTCCATGCTGTACTGGGTACACACACGCGGATGTCAGCTTTGACAGTAGTGTGTATTATGTCCATGTATGTACTGTGTACACACACGCGGATGTCAGCTTTGACAGCAGTGTGTATTATGTCCATGCGGTACTGTGTACACACACGCGGATGACAGCTTTGACAGCAGTGTGTATTATGTCCATGCGGTACTGTGTACACACACGCAGATGTCAGCTTTGACAGTAGTGTATATTATGTCCATGTATGTACTGTGTACACATGGCGGATGACAGCTTTGACAGTAGTGTGTATTATGTCCATGTATGTACTGTGTACACACACACGGATGACAGCTTTGACAGCAGTGTGTATTATGTCCATGTGTGTACTGTGTACACACACGCGGATGTCAGCTTTGACAGTAGTGTGTATTATGTCCATGCGGTACTGTGTACACACACGTGGATGGCTTCTCTATGCTGGGTTTGTGAGGCTTGCATGTGCTACTGCACTGAATCAGTGTGCACCTCTGACACTACCAAGTAATGTCCCTTGTCCCAGTGAATCAGTGTGCGCCTCTGACACTACCAAGTAATGTCCCTTGTCCCAGCCTACTTGTGCATTCACCTATTGGTGGACAGCTGGGCAATTTCTAGATTGGTTGATTCTAATAGAAATGCTGTAAATATCCGTGGTAAAGGTTTTTGTGGATGCATTTTCATTCTCTTGAGTAAACACCTGTAGTGCTGGCTGTCGGCACTGGATGCGTATTAATATCTTCTGATTCTAGCCATCCAGGACATGTGAGGCTGTGCTCCACCGCCCACACTCATGGCACTTAGCTAACGAGAGTAAGCGTCTTTCACGCAGACAGCTCCTGTTTGCTGCCTCTTACGTGACGACTGGCCTGGGATTTGTGTCCATCCACTAGAGCTGTCTGCCTGAGTGTCTGTTCTGACAGTGCCTTCTAGAGACACCTGCCGCAGCCACTCTCTCCTGCTCTGTGACTGCCTATTTGCTTAGCAGTGACCTGCTTGCTGTGGTGGGACAGCTGCTGATGGTGGCACTGAATCCAGGGCCTCACATGCCAGCCTAGGGTTCTGCCACTGAATCACATCCTGGACTCTTTGTTTGTTTGCTTTGGTTTTTGGGTTTTGAGATGGGGTCTCACTATGTAGCTCTAGCTGTCCTGAAACTCACTCTGTAGACCAGGCTGGCCTCAAACCCACAGAGATCCACCTGCCTCTGCCTCCTGAGTGCTGGGATTAAAGGTGTGCACCGCTGCTGCCGCTGCCTCCTCCTGGATCTCTAGATGAACTCTTAATCTGCCGATTTCTATGTGTTTTTTTTTTTTTTAACAGAAAGTAAGGTCTGCAGAGAGGGTTCAGCAGTTAAGAGCACGTGTTCTTCTTACAGGAGACCAGAGATCATTTCCCAATACCCCCATGATGGCTCTCAACCATCCATAACTTTAGTTCCAGGGGATCTGACGTTCTCTTCTGACTTCATGGACACTAGGCACACATACAGCGCACAGACACACGTGCGGGCAAAACACATACGTAAAGTTTTTGAAATCTAAGATAAAATTTTAATAGAAAGTAAGAAAGCTGTAACCCTAAAAGACAACCCAGAGACTGGCAGTGTCCGGCTGACTGCTCTCTGTGGAGGATGTAGCCCCTTCATCCCTAATGGCACTGCCCCCACAAACCTAAACTGACAAATCAAAGGGCCTTAGGAAGCCAGACAGAGAGGCTTAGGCTTAGAAAAACAGAGACACAGAGGGAACAGGTCATTTATCGAGTGGGGCAGTTAGAAACGGCCTGGGAATTCCATTCAAAGCCTGACATCTTGTCATTTTACACTAATCATTTCCACACTCTTCTCCCTTGAGCACAAGGAGGTGTAAGTGAACTTGACATCACACCAGACACAGGTGGGCGCACGGCCTTTAGAAATCATGTTAGCAGTGCTCAGTAAGCTTTTCCGTTAAACAAAAGTAAAGCAAATTTTTAAAATTCATGGAGTGGGCAACAGGAGGGAAAATAAATAATCTACACAACAATTTGTGAGCGCTTAAAGCAGTGGTTCTCAACCTTCCTAATTTTGTGACCTTTAATACAGTTTCTCATGGTGTAGGTGTCCCCAGTCACAAATTATTTTGTTGCTACTTCATAACTGTAAATTTGCTACTGTTATGAATCATAATGTAAATATCTGATATGCAGGACCTCTGTGAAAGGGCTTTTCTCCAAAGGGGTCATGACCCACAGGCTGAGCCCAGTTGACTTAAGGCTTTTGGGGGCCTTTGAATTTTCTAGCTCTGTTTTGTACATGTAAAAGGTGTCCCGTGACCAGGTGTGGTTGGTGCACGCCTCTAACCCTAGCACTTGGGAGGCAGAGGCAGAGGCAGGCAGATGGATCTCTGTGACTAGTCTACAGAGAGGCTATGTCTCCAGAGAGTCGTTTCCTATACTCAGATTCTTGCAGATTCTTCAGAGGAAGGCCGCAGAGGCTTCTGTGCGCCTGCTAGGGCTGCAAGGCAGAAAACCTACTTCTCCTTGAAAGAACCAGGACATGGGGGGAAGGATGGGAACGCTGGGAGCCACACCCAGCAACAAGGCAGACTCACCTTTCCTCTGTGGATCCCAGGCTTTCAATTTCATTAGCGACTTCTGCTATCTCGTCCTTCAGCCTCTGTAAACAGGAGTTACCAGGATGAGCGCCACAGCCTTGCACACTTGCACAGCCTGGCACACAACTCCCTCCACCCCAACCCTGCACACCAGAGCAGAGCAGCAGCGACAACAAAACCACAGCAGAGACCCTAAGAGATCAGCGGGAGGATGCATGCACTCCTCAGGTCGCCACTGGACCCCCACGGGGCCGTAAGCATGCATGCGGGGACTGCAAAGGCGGGAAGGCAGCTACTTGGCACAGCTCCTGGGCGAGGACAGGGGACTTTCGGGCACAAGCACTCTGTTGAAAAGGCGCACTCTCTGGATAGCAGCTGCTTGGGCTTTCTGAACAGTCTGCAGTTCCCAAACACAGGTGTGGCGGAGCACACAGCACACAGCACACAGGTGTCTGCACACATGGTTGGCTGGGCCAGCCAAGGCTTCACTGCGTCTACACTGCTGCCTCATGCTGCCACAGCTGGACATGGGAATGTCCCGCTTAGTCTGCTGACCGTTCACCCCAGCACCAGACTCACTGACAGTCACTGCCTTCCTGTTCGCTTGGTCTTAGAAGGGCGGGGTTATCTCCATGCAGAGGGTGAAAGTCCCTCCTGCTCCTAGCAGTTACCAGAGAATCATGAAAAACCATCCAAATCGTCCCAAGTCACCAATGGCAAGCGGGCCTGTCCTCTCGCTGCCCTGTGAGGCTCCAGACCCTCCTTTTCTCGCCCCTGAATTCTTACAAAGGTTTTAGAAGAGCAGCGTCCAGCTGCTCAGAGAGAAAATCACCCACCACATGGCTCCTGGGCCTTCTTCCCAACACAGCCTTGGGTTAGGAAAGGGAACCTGGAATGACCGCAATCACCAGCCATCTCCAGGGATTACCCCTGGAGACACCAGCGCATCCGGTCCTCACAGGAAGTGGCAAAGGTGCTGTCACTCTCTGTTCTTTCCCGGACGTTTGAGAAGCTAGAGCTGTAGCTCATGCTCTCAGCTGGTGAGTGGCAGTCGGGACCTACGGAAGGTGCCAGGAAACCCGAGGCCTGTGTTCTGTGCTGTGTGGGTGGGAAACCTTAGCTCAGAGTCGCTCGAGCTCTGACAAACAGGGCAGGCCCTCTGAGACTCCGCTTTCTGGTAAATCAAAGGTAACCACTAATACCTGTGCTTTGCTCAGAGCTGTGGCAAGCACCTGCCCTTTTGACACGCACAGCCACAAACCAAGTGTTCCCACATCGGCCGGCCTCCCGGCGCCCTCCAACCTGAATGTCCGCCAGCAGCTCCTGCTTCCTCCGCCGGATGTTCTCCAGTTCTTGTCGCTCTTCTGCAGTCAGGTCACTGGGAACTGCAGAGAGAGAAATGTCACCAAGAAAGCATCTTCCCGCAAAAACATAACGAATTCCAACGGCTCGCAGGTAAAACATGACCAACTTCAGACATGGCAGCCGCTGGGAATCACTCTGGCAGGTTATGAATGGGGGTGGGGCCTTCAGATCTTAGGACGGCTGACCAAGGACAGCTCCAAAGGAAGAGCAGGAAGAAGATGCTGCCCCTGGGGAAAAGGCCTCACTCATCCGCCCCACCAGTCTCCTGCCTCCCAGCCAGGAGAGGACAGGCCTCAGCTTCCTGGTGGTCAAAAGTGGAACTGCATCTCCCGGGGGTGGTCAAGCCGCCTAAAGTGGACCTAGGAGGCCCAGTGCCAAGAAAGCAACACGAGTGAGCGAGCGCTCGGTGACACTCTGGAGAACACGAGTGAGCCAGCGCTCGGTGACACTCTGGAGAACACGAGTGAGCCAGCGCTCGGTGACACTCTGGAGAACACGAGTGAGCGAGCAGGTGACATTCTGGAGAACAGTGGGGTGAGGGCACTTTGCAAACAGAGACACAGGAAAATGAGAACAGCATTTGCTCTGGGAGCTGGGATCATGAGACTTCAAGCTGGTGTGAATGTTCATCGTGTGCTCTAACCATCAAAACACACTCATCATGAACACTTTAGTCAGTGTGAAAGTTGGAGACAAAGTTCTTCTCCCAGAATATGGAGGCACCAAAGTAGTTCTAGATGACAAAGATTATTTATTTAGAGATGGTGACATTCTTGGAAAATATATGGACTGAAATCACTGTTAAAATGGTGTCACATGAAGCTGCCCATTCCGCCTACATTCTGAACTATTCATCATGTAAATAATTTCAGTGCCTCCTTTTTATAATATACTGATGCCCAAACTAAAAAAAAAAATTCCATGAGGATACCAATGACTGGGATCTGAACCATGCTTACAGAGCTGGTTAATCAGATCATCAATGAGCCTCCACTTGAGCAGAAGCAAGACTAATAAATTCCAGATCCTTACTACAAAAAAAAAGTCCTATCTCCAGACTGCTGACCTTTTATCACCTGAGTCAAGAACTCTGTGGTTGCCTCCAGGTTGAGAGAACCTTCATTCCCATGTGACAGTCAGGACCCATATCTGCATTTCATATTCAAGGAAGCACTCTAAAAAGCAGCAAACCCACACTCCTGTAGGGCATCAGCAAACGGATTTCAGCGAGTCTCCCTGACTGAGAAAGTGGGACTCAGAAGCCAAGGCATGAGAACCGAGGCCATCTTGGGAGTCTTGGATGCCACTGTATCTCTGGTGCCTACCGACAGGGCTCTGTGTGCCAAGGAACTGGAATGTATACTTGTCCCCAAGCAAACAGCTCGAATGAACCAGCTGCTGGTGAGCAAGCTATCTAGTGGGTAGTCGACCCCGTGGGATGGGAGCCCTTGGTGCTGATGCCTGGGGACCTGACAGTGCCCTGTGGCAAAGGCTCCTGGCTGTTCCACCTAAGCAAAGCCCCTAAGTCCTAAGACCCAACCTCCCACAGCCTCCCACAGCCTTCCACTGCCCTCAAGCTTCCGTTTTACAGTTACACCTACAGTGGGAAAGAGTAAGACCACAAACAAACAAGCAAATCCTGTAGCAAACAGAAAACTCTGCTCTTTAAAAACCCAGACTCAGCCGGGCAGTGGTGGCACATGCCTTTAATCCCAGCACTTGGGAGGCAGAGGCAGGTGAATCTCTGGTCTACAGAGTAAGTTCCAGGACAGCCTCCAAAACAATACAGAGAAACCCTGTCTTGGAAAACCAAAAAACCAACCAACCAAAAAACAAACAAAAAACAGACTCTTGGTGGGGGGAAGGGCAATTAAAGAAAAAGAAAAACATACTCTTACAAATTAAACCTTCTCCCCCTTTCCAATCCTCCTATCTAAACAAAAAATGTCAAGAGAGGACTAAAGGGTGAACCTGAGTCTGTAAGAAGCTCAACAAGAAAAGACCTGAAGGTGAGCAGTCAATCAGGTGATCGCACAGGAAAAACTGATGCCCTACGGAGAAACAAACAGGCCCCAAGACCTCCACAGGGCAGGGAGTGGAGTTCGCCAGTCCACAGCTGAAGAGATCCACACAGTCCAGTGAAGACCGTGAAGGTCTCCAAACTTCTAAGTGAAAATTGCTGGACCCCAATCCTCAGCCAGGAGGAGCACAGGTCAGAGTCATCAGATGCTCAAGCAGCAGAGCGTCGGTCTCCTGGCCACAAGTTCTAAAGTGACTTCAGGATGCCCGCCATGCAGGACAAGGAACAGAGCCAGCTCAAGAGCCGGAGGATGGCAGACGGCTGGGGGCAGGAAAGAAGCATGTAGCACAGGTTGGCATGCAAACGACGGGCTGTGGGAAGGTTACCACAAAGATCAAAGCAGACTGCAATAAAAGAGTGGTTGCAACACTTGTCTCTAACCAACACTCTTGAGGCTGAGGCAGGGCAGCCCGAGTTTGAAGCCAGCACGGCTGTATTTGCACTGCAGGTCTCTCTTGAGGATACTGTGAAATGTTTGTGAAATGAGCAGGCACCACTTCACCTTCTCTTAACAAAATGGAAAGCTCTGTAAATAGGAAAAAAACCCACATCTAAAGGAAGTGAGTGAGAAGCCTGGGCAGCCAGGAGTGCTGGAGCGGCTGCTCAGTCTCCATTCCAGAACCATTCACTGCTTGTGGGCTTTCAGGATCTGTCTGTTTACAAAGCGAGAAGTGCTCCCCAAGATGAGCAGCTTTTATCACGGTGACAGTGGTACCTGGAGGGTGAGACAGGTGTGGCAGGACGGGGCCACCGGGAGAGTCGGTCCCCAAGGCAGAGGAGGAGGAGGAGACAGGTGTCTGAGAGATGAAGCCCACAGAGCAGACACTCGAGGACGTGCAAAGGTCAAACACGAGAACCGAAAGGCACAGCAAACTACTCAAAAGAGGAAAAGTTTCGCCAGCTGGAGCCTCTGTCCGCCACAGGAGGAAGCCGGGAGTTCGTCCCTGGCTCTGACACAGTTAAGGAGCCACTGAAGACCCAGGCAGACTAACACCACAGAGCTCATGGCTGTGGCTACTCTGGGTCTTGGGATGGAGTGATGGGGCTACTGAGAATATTCACACGTCACATGTCTGACTCACTAACCCAGGGTTTCCAGGGGAAAGGCCTCTGTGGCCTTGCAGCCAAACACAAATGGCTTCCAGCCAGTTTGCAGTTATAATAAAGATATTAAAAAATAAAATGAAAAAGCCATGGCATTTGTTGTCATTTGTTTTGATTCAGTCTGCTGATACTAACCATGTGATCTCTAAGTTACTTCTGTAAAACTTAACCTGAAATTAATGCTTCTTCCATTTTGGTTCAAAGAAGAACTAAGAATTTAGGAGAAGGAATAAAAAAAAAAACAGAAAAAAATCTAGATCTCACTTTATCCTCCTGGAATTTTGCTCTAAGATATCAGAAATATAACATTTTAAAGAGCACTTCCCGAGCCGGGCGTTGGTAGTGCACACCTTTAATCCCAGCACTCTGGAGGCAGAGGCAGGCGGATCTCTGTGATTTCGAGGCCAGCCTGGTCTACAGAGCGAGTTCCAGGACAGCCTCCAAAACAATACAGAGAAACCCTGTCTCAAAAAAAAAAAAAACAAAAAAACAAACAAACAAACAAACAAAAAAAACAAAGAGAGCACTTCCCTTCGCAGAAACCCACAAACACAACACCAAACCTTACCAATGTAACACCAAACCTTACCAATGCAACACCAATCTTAGCAACACTAATCTTTAGTTAAGTCTCATTGCTAGAAAAACAAAATAAAGCAACAACAATAAAAAACAAATCCCAATGATTGCTTCATCTAACACAGAGGATCTAAAGATTGCTGGGTACTGGCCCAGGAGCCTGGGCTGATCACACGGATGCTTTCAACACGCTGGGAAGGAGAAGGGGGGACAACAGACACTGGGTGACGCAGTCTAGTGGACCTGGTGCACCAGCAGGGAAAGCTATCTAACCCCATGGACCGCCAGGGTTAAACTGCACAAGAGCCTTCGGACAGGCCAGATGGCAGAACAACAAACAACTCCCCTCCCCCACTGCCACGCGCTAGAGCCACGCTTCTGTGCCAGGAGGGGGCTGACCCTCTTCTCTAAAAGAACGGCCAGTGGGCAGGGCAGCGGGTGGTCTTTGCCACAGTCTGAGCACAATGGAGAAGGATCAAAGGAGCCCTCCTGCCACACCCACGCCCAGCCTCGCCTGTGCTGGAGGGCCGGGAGCCCACGCTTTAAGGTTAGTCTGGGTAAGGTGACCATCCAGCTGGCAGGCAGAGGGACGGTGCGGCACTGGTCTCCTCACCAATCCTTTCCCAGGTTCCAAACAACAAGGAGCCACCGTGCCCAGTTGTGAAGCTTTCACTTATTGATTTAAATGTTCCTTTGCGGAAACACAGTCCGGCCAGTGCATACAAAGGAGGACTCTCTTAAAGGGACGCTGCCTGCTTTCCAAGCCAAGGAACAGAAAATGTGCACAGGATGGCGGGCACCGGACTGAAGCCCTGCAGTCCCTGCTCATGACAGCTGCCCAGTGTGGTGTGCATGAGGTCCCATTGCAGATGTAATTCCTGTGACACAGGTTCTATTCAGCAGCCACTGCAACCACCACTCAAATGCATGGCGCTTAACCAGCCCTGTGGGGGCTGTGAAGTCAGAGGGACCCAGCCATGTTTGGAACTCAGATTTCCTTCTTCCTGCTTTTTGAGGTCATCTTGCTCCCCTCAGACCCCTCTGCCTGGCTTGAAAATACAGTACCCACCTTGTTTTTTAATTGTTATCAAAATTATTATTAACCATATTTATTAGCCACCATAGTTATCAACCAGCGTCCAGAGACCCCAGCCTCTCAGTGTATAAAGAGGGTCTACATTGATGCAGTGCCACAGGGAGACACTTAAGAGTAACCTAGAAAGCATGGCTACCATGGTAACCGCCCCAAACCCAGGCCCCAGGGCTCCCCCATACTTCCATACAGCCCTCCTGCTAAGCTACCTGTCCTGCTCTGGACTGGACTGAAGACGCACATGAGTGTTTCCTTTCTCTCCTCCTCCCGCCCCTTCCCCGCCTCTCACTACCTCAGGCAAACCTAGGCACAGCCCAGAATTGCAGAGGTGGTAAAATGAAGCCCAAGTTTCCCACACTCCCACAGAGCCTGCACCCACTCTGAGAGGACAGTGACTCTCCTAGTTCCAAGAGCACAGAGACAGGAAGCTGCTGTTGGAACTTCCATCGGACCCACAGTGTGAGGCGCCCTGAAGGCCAGCAGCACCAGCCACAGCAAGGCACCAACTCATCAACCGTTACCCCTGAGTGGCCAGGGCCTGTCCCTTCCAGCAGCCTATATCACTTTGTCACCCAGGAAATCCCAGTACTATAAGGAACTCCTCTCTGTACGGTGGAACCACCCCATCCATTGCTGTAACTGTCCAGCGGCCTCAGTGGACACCCTGACCTGAGCTGGGGCCCTTCACCCGCAGACCCAGCCTGCTCTCCTCTTCTGCCTATACCACAGATGCTCACCCAGCCTACAACTGCTGCCTCACAGCTGGACAGCATGCTCTCCCTTCCTGGAGAGCAGCTCCCAGAGAACTACAGGCCACGGACAATTCAGGAGTGCGTGCTAATGAGAGCCGCGTCCACGGGGCTCTGCATCCACCTGTGGAACTGACCGGGGTCACCTGGTTATATCACCTACAGTCTATACTCACCAGCTGTGTGGCCCTGGGCAAACTATGTCACCGGTTTGTGTCCCTCAGCAAACAGGAAGCCGACAGTGTTCCTGAAGGAGCACCCTGATGTGGAGCACAGCTCACATATCACAGAGGGGAAAGTGACCGTCCTAGCCCTGACCTTGAGGAGAGTCAGAGACTGCAGGGAACCAGGGCACAACAGGAGGGCGGCACAGAAGCCAGCACTGCAGACTCAAAGACTGGACCAAGTTCCTTAGTGATGACGGCTGCACTGGCCTGAAGAGTCTGTTCTCCCTCCCTTAGAACTCTCCATTCACAAGGGATAAGGCTGGGCCGTTCAGAAGGACTAGGAATGCAACCTACTTCTCAAGGGTTGGTTAGGTAACAGTGAAAGATGAAAAACCCAAAGCTTGACCTGCCTCCGGGCCACACAGCAAGCCAGAGTTGTTTCCAGTCCTGGGGCAGTGATCAGGGTCCAAGAGTGAAGTGGGGGAGGGGGGCACAGGAAAGGAGAGTGGCCACAGTCAGACACATGCTTGCTGCACGGGCTTGTCAACGTTAGAGACGTTCCTTCCTACAGAGTCAAGACCTTTGCAATCCTTCCTAAATTTAATTCACTATTACAGGTTTAAAAGGAAGGAAAAGTTTGATGCCACTATAGCCTAGATGAACCTGAAGACACTCAGTCACAAGATGGGTGGACACCGTGAGCCGTCCCTTACACAAGGGTCTTTGGGTCACGCTCACCGTAGAGAGAACAGTGATGGTTTGTAGGGGTGGGGTGGTTAAGAAGACTAACAGAGGCAGAGTGGCAACCTTTTATTGTTGGACATTTCTGGGGATAGACACGGCACTACTGTTCAGTACCATTAACTGTATACTTCAAATGGTTAAACTGGTAAGTTTTATGTTATATGGATTTTGCCATAATTAAAAAAATAAACAGATGGAGTGATGAGCAAAGGGGTCAAGACCAGGCTGGTGAAACCCACAGAAACAGCTGGCCTGAACAAGGGGGAGCTCTTGGACCCCAGACTGATGGCTGAGAGGCCAGCATGGGACTGACCCAGAACCCCTGAATGTAGGTATCAGTGAGGAGACCTGGGCAATCTATGGGGCCTTGGGTAGTAGATCAGTGAATGGCATACAAATGAACTTTGGGTGCCCATCCCACAATGAGAGATGCTCTCTCAGCCTGGACTCTTGGGGGGTTGGGTGGGGGACTGGGGGGCAGGGGAGGAGGGGAGGGAGAGGGAGCTGGGATTCACATGTGAAGCAAGCTTGTCTCTAATTTAAATAAAAAATAAACAGAAATTTTAGTGGCAATATTCTAACTTCTTGATTGCACTTCAGATCCTTTTTATTATTACTTGGCCCTTGAAAGAGCATCTTGACTTACTACCCTCCTGCAGTACACGAGTTTAAAGAAATTAAACCACAAATGCCGGGCAGTGGTGGCGCACACCTTTAATCCCAGCACTCAAGAGGCAGATGCAGGTAGATCTCTGTGAGTTCGAGGCCAGCCTGGTCTACAGAGTGAGTTCCAGGACAGCCTCCAAAGCCACAGAGAAACCCTGTCTCAAAAAAAAAAAAAAAAGAAAAGAAAAGAAAAGAAAAGGAAAGGAAGGAAGGGATGGAGGGAGGACAGGATGAAGGAAGGAAGGAGGGAAGGGAAGGGAAGGGAGGGAGGAAGGAAGGAAGGAAGGAAGGAAGGAAGGAAGGAAGGAAGGAAAGAAGGAAGGAAGGAAGGAAGACAGGCAGACACTCGCAGACTGTTCAGTTCCCATGCAGCGAGCAGGCACGGCCCTCTCAGATATGGGGCAAACTGCCAGTGTGGACATTTATACACTCTGGTTTACATTCTTTCCAGGCAAACCCACCCAGGCCTCTGCTTAGAAGTCAGAGTATTAGAGATTTCATTGCCACAGTTTGAATTTTGAAGGAAGACTTTGGCACTGTTCCCAAGGCTCAGGGACAGCTCCTCTCAACAACAGCCTGGCCTGTTGAATTCAGAGGGGACACTGTCCAGGGAGGAGGCCCAGGGCCGCCAGGACTTCACTGATTTCTTTGTGACCTTGGGCAAAGCATTACCTCTCCTCTCCCCAGTTTCCTGGTGTGTAGACATGAAATAGGAATGTGTATTTTTAAAGCTCCAATAACATTCTTATAAAAGGAAGATATTTTTCTATTTAGAAAAGAGAATCAGCACAATTTATCCAATAAAACCCAGAACTCAAGACTGAGTTTGCATGCTATAATTTAAGCAGCTCACTGAAGGGAAATGAGGTCAAATTTCAAGGCAGTAACAAGAACTAAGTCATCAAATTTTATCCTAAAAAAATGGCTTTATTAAAACAAACAAGTGACTGTCCTCACAGCTGACAGACGCTTACCCTTCAACACCTGGCAGGGGCAGTGACATAGCCAGGACTCACAGCGGCTTCTCTTCCTCACCAGGCTCCCAGCTTTCTCTACATAAGACAAAGCTGGGACCCCTCGGTGAGGAAGAGCCTTCTGGACCCTTCTGAGACCAGGTTCTTAGCCCTCAGACAGGCAGAGCCCAAATCGTTCAGCTCCTCCTTCCTTCGAGGGGTCAGAGGACACTCTTTTGGTGAAGCAATGCCACTCTGGTGCCTGCCAGCTGCAGTCACCATGCCTGCACAGCTGGGCCACCACACCCCCCTGTGCATCCCAAACAGAAGCAGATGGGGGGGTCAGAAGTCACATTTCTGTCACTTTGCCTCCTCCCTAGAGACTGCAGACCAGTCCTTTACACAGCCTTGACTTTTCCTGCATACTCTGTCCAGCAGCCGGGGTCAAATCTTGTTCTCCTCAGTATGTTCTGCTAGAATCTCGGCTGCCCCAACCAGCAAGGTTCAGAGGCCCCGAGTCAGCAGAAACCCAAGTGGTGGGCAGATGGAGACAGTGGAGACAGGAGGGTCAGACTGTGAATTTGCCCCTTGGCTTTCTGCTACCCTGTTTTGGGTTATTGGCTTGCTCTTAAGTCTCGGGCCAAGAAGAAACAACAACAGATGACTGGATACCTATCGGGAAGCACCACGGAAAATCCCTGAGAGGGAGAGCTGAGGATGGGAACCCAAGGGCAGACATGCAGAGTCAGCTGCACACGCACACATGTCAGCTCCTGCTGCCTGCTGCAGGGGACGGGGTGCAGGGTGGGAGAGGCTGCGCCTAGGCAAAACGGGGAAGCTGCAGACCTGCTCCATGCACCATCCTCCAGGATCTTACCGGCAGCGTGTCCCCTCTTCCGTGGCCCCAGTGTCCTGTCAAGCCCTGGGCAGCAACGTCAAAGCCTCAGCTGGTCCACAGTTCTTCGTGTCAGAGGCCATGGTGGATCTGCACAGCAATCCTGCAGGCCCAGGCTCCCCGGAGCTCTCCCAGCTCTGGGTACAGGGAGAGCTGGAGCAAGGACAGCATTTGTGTGCCAGCACACAAGGCAGGGGAGGAGGCGTCCAGAGGAGACAAAAGCCGAATGGCCAAACAGCGGGCGGGAGCGAGCGGGGAGAGCCTAGTGGAGAAGGCTGGCGCAGCCCCGGGGATGGGGACGGTGGCACGGAGCTGCAGCAGCAGCTGACACCCGTGCGCGGCTCCTCTCCCAGCAGGCTCATTTCCATGAATGTAATCACACCGCCCCTCCTACTACCCTCTTCCTGGCCTCCTGGGGGAGGGGCGGCACTGCTAGCATTTGCTCATAGGCTGCGCCTGCATTCTTCCCCCCCTTAGACGCAAAGCTTGCCGGTTGCTCTCTCCAGGAAGAGGCTAACCCTTACTTACGAGGCCTTCCCAAACAGGAGACTGGATCTGGGTGTCAAACATCTGTCACCCACGTGGCATAACCTCAGTCCATGTGCCAGTCCCCCACCAGAGCAGCCTGCTCAACTCTATACACCATGGGGAGAGTCTTGAGAGGCAGCGGTCTACAAGCCCCAGCCTTGGAGGACCTCCTCCCTCCGCCTCCACGTGGGACACCACAGCCTTTTCATCTTCCGTGTTCACGTAAGCTGGCACTCACGCGTTCTTCACCACAGGTGAAGCGCATGTGCTCAGTGCCCTGAGTAGCAGGGCTAGGCAGACTAACTCTGGGGATGACTATATAAGATGGCTGGTGACAGGTGATGTCTCTGAGTCCTCGGGGAGTGCAAGGTCACAAGAGAACCTGTTAGGCAAGACAAGTGGGGCCCCAGGGCCCAGGGCAAGCATTGCATGGGTCCAGGCTCCAGCTGCAGGGACAACACGGTGTCTGGCTGCTGACACAAGAAGCACTCACTGCCTGGGACTCTGGAAGGAGGAGGTGCTATTTAAACATGCAGCCAGAAGCCACTTGGAGCACAGTGGAGGGGACTCATCCCTGTGTGCTTCTGGGACCTGCTGAGGCAACCAGAGCAGACAAAAGCTGAGAAGCCAAAAGGGACAGGAGTGCCACGGCCTCGGGACAGGAGCGCCATGGCCTCGCCCCACTAGACGCCACAGCGACCCTCCTCAGCCAGGTGTGACCACCAAAATGTTTCCAGACATTGCCCAGTCCCTGGGCAGCTGTGGTTAAGAACCATGACTCCAGATACATAACAAAGGGATCCCTACCCCAGGCCTCTTCCTTTTAGCCTCCTTCACTAGGGGACCACGGTCTAAGGTTACCCCTCTCCCTCTCCACAGGCACCCTCCCTGCCCCATCTGGACAGGGTGTGGACAGACAGACATCCTTATCATCACGGAGTGTCTCCAGACTGCACTCTCCATCCCTACCCATGCCTGCTAGAGAGGAGCCACCACAACGTGACTAGCCAAACAGGTAGTATTATTTAAAAGAATCTGAAAATCACATACGCAATGTCTGCCTTACTGCAAAAGTCTACATGAAATATGGGCAGAGAATCCTGCTGGGCAGAGCCACGCACCCGTCTCTCGGCCTCTGCCGTGTCTGATGAGTCCAGTCTTCCTCTTGTTTCAGGCTCCTCCCCACACTTCATAGGCCTCTTCTTCCAGGGAGACTCCCTGATTACCTTCCCCACCTCCTTGCTTAGCCTGTGGGTATCAGCCACCACCTGATAATGTTCAGCTCACACTGTCTGCAGGTGACCCCCTGGCACGCTCGCACACTCGCCTTCAGGTGGCCGCTGACACTGAATACATTCGCAGTTCTTCTCACAGTCCCAAGGGTTACAAGGGTCTTGCTGAGGTGACAGTGCTGACTCTTTTTTTATTTTTTGGTTTTTCGAGACAGGGTTTCTCTGTATTGTTTTGGAGGCTGTCCTGGAATCGGCTCTGTAGACCAGGCTGGCCTCGAACTCACAGAGATCTGCCTGCCTCTGCCTCCCGAGTGCTGGGATTAAAGGCGTGTGCCACCAATGCCCGGCCACACTTAAAGAAAAGAGATGCTAAGATAAATCAATGTACAATAGAACTTATGAAAGCATAGTGTATCAGAAATGAAAAATCGGGGGCGGAGGGACCTGTTGGCTGAACAGAAATCCCAACCAAGAAAACAGAAGTGTGTTTAAGAAATTACTTTCTGAGCCGGGCGTTGGTGGTGCACGCCTTTAATCCCAGCACTCGGGAGGCAGAGGCAGGCGGATCTCTGTGAGTTCGAGGCCAGCCTGGTCTACAGAGCAAGTTCCAGGACAGCCTCCAAAGCCACAGAGAAACCCTGTCTCGGAAAAAAAAAAAAAAAAAAAAAAAAGAAATTACTTTCTGGGAGGCGGAGTGGGGAGATGGGAGGAGAGGACGGAGAAGGACTGGGATTGGAATGTAAAAAATAAATTAATAAAAAAATTTAAAGAAATTACTTTCTTAAGCTAAATAATTCAACACACCAATCAGGGGCCTGTTAGTGACTGGGAAGATACAAAGTTGCTCAGATAGAGCTCTACCCTCAAACAGCTGCGTGTTACCCTTCTCTTACACTATAGAAGTACCATAGACTGCGCGTCACAACAGTGGACACACCAGTCTAAGCTGATTCTAGTCAAGAGCCAATGATGTTGAGCCACAGAGTTCACCAGGAGGGGACGAGAGCCCAGGCTCGGGGCGAGGTGGGGGGTGGAACAGAGGCAAAGGTGGCCCAAGTGGAAATGTCTGGAAGGCAGCCGGAACCAGCTGGAGACTTTGACTCCAGCCGAGACAGTGGGTTCCACTGTTGTCAGCTGAGCTGAGGAGCAAAAGCAGCAAGGAGGCGCCAGGGAGAGGAGGAGGGCCTGGAGGTTTTCCAGTTCCAGAGGAAAGGACAGGGCGATGGCTACAACTCCAAATGTCATGAAAAGAAAGTGCTTCCTCGCCTCCTGGGGCTGGTGGCTTCAACTGCCTCCCTTACCTGATACCAACCCTGCAGACACACACTAGTCCCCCTCCTCCTGTCTCAGGCACAGGAGCAGACTGGCCTCTGACAAGAGTGAATGTACGCCATCACGGATGTCTTCGGCAACTTCTGATGAGGAAGGCGCGAACCATGGTACCCTTGGTCACTGGCAGATGCCCCTCAGCTCACTGACGGATGCCCAGGTGAGCCTGGAGGCTCTGAAACTCTTTATACGTGAATGTGCTTTTTGACTATCTGGTAAGGATAGAAACGGAGATGCTTCTGCAGAGAGGCCACTAACTGCCAACTTCTACTTGTGCTCAACAAGGCCTGAGCGTTGGGCGGGTGTCTCTACCCTTACCTCACATATTGCTTGGGCTCTGTTGCTGTGACTAAAGACAACTTGGGAAGAAACGGGCTTATTTCAGCTCACAGCTCATAGCCCATCTCCAAGGGAAGCCAGGCAGGAACCCAAGGCAAGGAGTGACACAGAGGCCATGGGAAGGCTGGCTCCCGTGGGTTGCTGAATTCACTTTCTTAAATACCACGGGGTCATGCGTGCATTAATCAGGCAAACGTCTCACATTTGAGGTTTTGCTGTTCCCAGACAGCCTGACTCGTGTTGAGGTGACAAAAAGCTGACTAGCACATTGCAGTAGAGTCCCAGACTTTGGAGTTGTCCTTAGTCCCTAACCCTGACCCTGAAGTCATAAGGGAGTTCAGGAGCAACAGCCCCAGGGTCCTGAGTCCAGAGCCAAATCCAACTGCTGCCCCCTAGAGTCACTGCTGCTTAGCAGGAGGCCAATGCTGGGGAGCAGCCACAGAGCCCAGGCCTCTGACTTCTGCTGCAGGTGCCAGAGCAATGTGTGTGTGGGGGGGGGGGGATTTTATCTGGGCCATGCTCACAAGTGTTCTCAGGGGCTGCTCCTAGAGGGGCCCTACCTCCTGCACTGTGCAGAGGAAGCAGCCGGGCAGGAGAGGCCCAAGAGAGCTAGGGGACGAGGGACAGGAAGAAGCAAGACCCGGGTTTCTGAGATCCAAGGGAGGATGTAAAAGGCAGATTCAAGAAGAAACACAAGAACCAAGCATGAAAAGATGCTCAAGTTTACCTAACCCAGGAAGTATAAACAAAAGCACCAGCCTACTGCCGGACAGAGTGCAGACAGGCTGTGCAGTTTCCTGTACCACCCTAAATACACGGGTCTTTCCATCTGAAAATCTGAGTCTGCTTCTTAAACTAAATTTGTTTTGTTAAAAAAAAAAGATTTATTTATTATGTATACAGTGTTCCGCCTTCATGCCAGAAGAGGGCACCAGATCTCATTACAGATGGCTGTGAGCCACCGTGTGGTTGCTGGGAATTGAACTCAGGACCTCTGGAAGAACAGCCAGTGCTCTTAACCTCAAACCATCTCTCCAGCCCCTAAATTTGGACTCCAAATTTGTGTATAAGCATTTTCCCAATGGTTACAACATCAAAATTGTGAGAACTGAAAAGTTTTCAGTACTGTACATTTAAAGAGTGAGGTGTTCTCAAGATGCCAGCAGCAACACGTGGTGGCACCAGGCAGCAGTGACTCAGGTTCCACCTTACTCATGACTATGTCTGGTGGACACACGTGACCTCCACGCCACTAGCAGCCACGGCACAGATGAGCACATGGAGAAGGGGCATGCCCCCGTTCTTCCTTTGCTACAGTTCTGTAAGTTGGGTCCACAGGAAATGCAATCTTTGCCATTGGGACTTCTCCTCAGAGAAAATGCAAAAAAGCCACTGGCTCCTTTGCCCAGACAGAGCCTGAGTCCTTGCTCTGTCAGGACTACTCCTGGGCTCTGCTCCACTATTGGCTAGGCGCCTGCTTGGCAGCGCCACGGCTGTCAGAGGGATTTGCTGCTCAGTCTTGACTCAAAGGAAGACAGGAAAGAATATGGAGCACTGAGTGTCTGGGTAGAGTGTGGGGAGCCTTGGTGGGCTCCACGGTGGGCAACGGGAACAAACAAGGCAGGGGGGACAAACAGGCCAGGCAGACAGCTTAGTGAGGAGTTTTATTAGAAAGAGAAAGGGGGAAGAAAAGAGAAAAGAGAGAGGACAGGAGAGGGAGACAGGAAAAGTCCTGTCTGCCCCAGGGGAACAGCAGAAAAGAGAGCGTAAGTGGGCGGGGGGGGGGGCCCTGTCTGTCTGTCTTTTAAAGGGTCCTTTGCACTTGGGCTGACCAAGGTCCTGCCTGAGAGCATCCTGACAGGTGACAGGCAGGCCAGCACAGTGCCTGAGACTCGCGGGTCTCTCTGAGGTCATAAATTGAGTTCCCATGAG